AGCCCAGACACGTCTGGGCTGTCCGCTGCTCGCGTGTTCCACCGCTTTGCTTCCTCTCCCTGGTCTGCTGGAGACCAGGGAGAGGGAGGGCCCCGTTCGTAACTGCGGATCCGACGTAAGTCAGATCCGCGTAACTCGGGGACTGCCTGTAGTCATGGATCTCTAGAAATCTTAACACTCCTCTTGTGGTATTTGAGCTCCTTCTTTGGAGCACCATAATGAACTCAACATGTAATTTTCACATTATCTAATCAACCTACATCTCTAGTAGGGTGAGTAAGTGTGGCAGCCTGTACCCTTCTGTTCACCACCTTTGTAAGACTGTGATAATTTTTGTAGAAAGTAGATCTTGGGAGGGATCAGGGGAAAGCTCATAATTTGCTGAACATTATTGTCCTGGCAAAATATGGGTGACAACATTGTATGTACACTTCTACTGTATAACATTACTGAGAAATGAAAGTTTAGAAAAACAGGCAAAAAGCAAATGGATGCTTCAGCCAGTTGTTTACACAACCAGATTGCCTAGCATTTGCTTAAGAGGCCATCAGTAGGCAGGAAGCATGGTGTGAGAAAGAAAGCTGCATTTTGAGAAAACAACTTATTTTTGGTGGCTGTGTGGAGTTTTAGTGCATTTGCCTTCTCCCTATAAACTTTCATTTTACATCCACCCCTTTATTTCCATTTTGAGAGGGGGACCAGGAGAGAAGAATTAGACTTTGGTCTGTGAAGCAGAAAGTTCACACCCATCTTGTTTTCCTGTAACAAAGCCAGTTGCAATGAAAACTTTTCAAAAAGCAACACCCACAGAATGAGACCACTCAGCTGTCACCCTTGCAGGAGGAAGTGAAACAGTCAAGAGACAGAAAATCTGAATAAAAAACCATTCATCATTTAGGCTAAAGCGTACTGAGGAGCCCTGCCAGTCATTGAGACCACACTGGAGATGCAGCGAGCTACCATCGGGACCATGAGGAATTTCCTGATTTGGGCTTGGATTCTTTCCCCAGGTGAGATAGGATTATTTTTGTCACGAGAAATAGATCGGGGAGGCAGAGCTGTTTGATGGGGGCAAATAGGAACTGTGGCTGCTAAGCACATCTGTAGCCCAAGTGCCTGACAGATTTGAACAGATAACAGGAGAGAATGTCCTGGCTTAAAGACAACCTGCAGCTATCTCCATGAACCAGGGGGAAATGTCCTACCTAAAAACCAAAGCTTTTCCCCAGGGCAGTGGGTTTGGAGGGTCGCACAAACCATGGACCTTAGCATCATGGTTTTTCCATTACGTTAAGGGGAGGAATTACCACCCACAAGTCCAACTTTTGGCCCTTTCCCTGCCACCAATGGCTCTGGAGAGTTGCTCTCCTAACACAGTTTTCCTCTCCTCCCTCAAACCCCAAGCAGCAAGTTGGTCTAAGAGGGGATTTCACTGCAATGGAGTGCTCTGCAGATGACAGGAACCTCTCCAGCGCAGTGAATTCCCAATTGCACGGGTACTGGTTATCTACCCAGCTTTGCTTCCTTGCTAATTCAACAGCACTGCAAGACGGCGGGGTCTGTGTGTGTGTGTGTGTTCTATGTCACCTCTGTGACACAGGAGAACAAGTGGAATGAGGTGGTGGAATGAGGACAATCAATGGGACACAGTCATACCAAGGTACACAATATATTAGAAGGACAGAACAGGTCATGCTGGTGAGGGAGTAGCACTGTACATGAAAAAAAAGTAGAATCTAATGAAGTAAAAATCTTAAATGACCCTAAATGTTCCATAGAATCTCTATGGATTGTAATTCCATGCTTCAATAATAAGACTATAGCGGTAGGGATATATTATCCACCACCTGATCAGGACAGTGATAGTGACTATGAAATGCTAAGGGAGATTAGAGAGGCTATCAAAATAAAAAACTTGATAATTGTGGGAGATTTCCACTATCCCCATATTGACTGGGTACACGTCACCTCAGGACGAGATGCAGAGATAAAATTTATTGATACCTAAATGAATGCTTCTTGGAGCAGCTGGTTGTGGAACCCACAAGGGGACAGGCTATTCTTGATTTAGTGCTAACTGGAGCGCAGGATCTGATTCAAGAGGTAAATTGTCCCAAATTGAGATATCGTTAGAGGAGGTTTTGGTACAAATTGATAAACTTGTAACAAGTCATTGGGACCAGATAGCGTTCACCCAAGAGTTCTGAAAGAACTCAAATGGGAAATTGCTGAACTATTAACTGTGGTTTGTAACCTATCCTTTAAATCAGCTTCTGTACCTAATGACTAGAAGATAGCTAAAGTGACACCAATATTTAAAAAGGGCTCTAGAGGTGATCCTGGCAATTATAGACCAGTTAGCCTAACATCAGTACTGGGCAAATTAGTTGAAACTGTAGTAAAGAATAAAATGGTCAGACACAGAGAAGAACATAATTTGTCGGGGGAAAGTCAACATGGTTTCTGTAAAGGGAAATCATGCTTTACTAATCTACTAGAGTTCTTTGGGGGGGGGGGTCGACAAACATGTGGACAAGGGGGAATCCCGTGGATATCGTGTACTTGGATTTTCAGAAAGACAAGGTCCCTCACCAAAGGCTCTGAAGCAAAGTAAGTTGTCATGGGATAAGAGGGAAGGTCCTTTCATGGATTGATAACTGGTTAAAAGACAGGAAACAAAGGGTAGGAATAAATGGTAAGTTTTCCAAATGGAGAGAGGTAATTAGTGGGATCCCCCAAGGGTCCGTCCTGGGACCCATCCTAGTCAACTTATTTATAAATGATCTAGAGAAAGGGGGTAAACAGTGAGATGGCAAAATTTGCAGATGATAGCAAACTACTCAAGATAGTTAAGACCAAAGCAGACTGTGAAGAGCTTCAAAAAGATCTCACCAAACTAAGTGATTGGGCAACAAAATGGCAAATGAAATTTAATGCTGATAAATGTAATGTAATGCACAGTGGAAAAAATAATCCCAACTATACGTACAATATAATGGGGACTAATTTAGCTACAGCTACTCAAGAGAGAGAGAGCTTGGAGTCAATGTGGATAGTTCTTTGAAAACATCCACTCAATGTGAAGCAGCCATCAAAAAAGCAAATAGAATGTTAGGAATCACTTACAAAGAGATAGGGAATAAAACCATGATACGCCCACATCTTGACTAGACAGATTCATGGAGGTTAGATCCATCAAGGGCTATTAGCCAGGATGGGTAGGAATGGTGCCTTAGCCTCTGTTTCTCTGGAGGTGGGTGACAGAAGAGGGATCTTGTGAGGATTACCTGTTATGCTCCCTCCTTCTGGGGCATCTGGCATTAGCCACTGTCGGCAGACAGGATGCTGGGCTGTCTGGACCATTGGTCTGACCTAGTATGGCTATTTTTATGTTCTTATGTTCTTTAGTGGCACCGATCTTGTGCTCCTAAGATGAATAACTGCATCTGAAAAGCCACAAAAGGAGAATAATGCCACGATGGGAGTGGAGGTGGGGGAGGGGGAGCTGAGAGCCAAGACAGATTCACTGTGATTAAAATGACTACCGCCCTCATGCAGATGGGCCAGGGCAGTCTATAGAGCAATCACTGCTCTCTCTGTGAATATCTATTGTTGATGTTGGCTTTAGGTACTGGTCTGTGAAGTGGTGGTCTCGAGATTGTGAGTGGCAGGCCTGCTCATGGGAGGGGGGGGGAAGGAGGGAGCAAAAGGGGCAATTGCCCCAGGATCTGGTAATTCAAAAGGGCCCGGGACTCCCAGCCACTGCTACTGCAGCCGTAGCCAAAGCTCTGGGCCCTTTGAATCACCACTGGAGTCGGATGCAGAATGCTTTGAGTGGTACTAAGGGCTGATTGGGTTTGGGCAGTGCTGAGGGATGGCTGCCCCAGCCCCGCCTTTTCTGTCTGAGGCCCCGCCCCTTCTGGGAGTGCAGAACTAGGCTGCCCCCACATTGTCAGCCCCCATGACAGACTCATGTGTATAGGATTCCTTTGGTCAGAGGGCTGACTGGCTCATGTGTGATGCCCACTTTCAAGCCTCAGGTGCCTGGCAGCATTTGCATCCTACTCATTTTAGGCTTGGTCTGAATTGCCAATTGAGCAACAAAACCTTTGTCACCCGCAGGTGCTTAACAACTCCCCTGCCCCTGAAAGTCCAAAGCTTTGCCACGGCAAGGGGCAGTGTAAATGGCTCATTGTCGACAATGCGAACTCTGCTTGTAAAGGGGTGACAGGGTTTTGTCAGCCAAAATGCTGACAAACGGTGTTCCCAATGCCGGACTTCTAGCAACACAGCTGTGATGCCACGGCCATGTTGCGCAGGGCTGCGCAGTGTAGACAAAACCATGGCCTTCTGCTTCCTATGGGAGTGTAACGTAGGTCCTAGTGACCAGCTCTGCTCCCTCCAGCGGGCTCCCCTCGGTGATCACAAGTGATGCTAATGCCGGGGCTGAGCTGATCTCAGCACTGTGATTCCAAAGTCAAAGGGGTTCTCTAATGCCATGCCCAGCCCAGCAGTGTCTGTGCATGAGAGAGGAGATAGAGCATGTAGAAGATTTTCATAATTCTCCTAAACGTGTTAGACATCCCCGCCCATAATAACTGTGGGAAAGTTAAGTCAGACAGGCCCACCAATGGAGGGAGAGGCTAGGGGGCAGTTGTCCCAGGGCCAAGCAATTCAAAAGAGCCCAGGGTTCCTGGCCACCACCACTACGAAGCAGCAACAGCAGCAGAAGGTCCGGGCCCTTTAAATCACTACTGGACCCCCATGAAGTGTGCTTTGGGTGGCTCTAAGGACTACCCTTTCTGCCTGAGATCCTGCCCTTTCCAGGAGTACAAAACTGCCCTCCCCCGACCTTACACAGAGGCCCAGCAATTCTTTCACATCCCATGCTCCGAAGTCAGAGAATCCTCTGCGTCAGTCTCATGGTCACAGTCCTAGCTGAAGAAGTGCCATGTTTCAGAAGGATGCTGACAAAGAAAGCAGAAGGGCTATTTAAATTCCTCTTCGGTTTTAGATTGATGGAGGCGGGGGTGAGGCGAGACAGCAAAGTCACAGATGAATCCATCTCCCTGCTATGCCAGCGTGGGACCACATTGCCTTATTCATCACAGTCTGAAGCCCCACCTCCCGCATCATGGTAGCAAACTAGTGCCTCACCATCTTCAGTGTATTTATCCACACAACAACCTTATGGGGCAGAGAAGCACCGAGAGGTGAAGAAAATCACACAAGAGTCCATGGCAGAGTGGGGACTTGGACCCAGATCTCCTGAGGCTCAGGCTATCAGCTCATCCCACCTTAGATCAACCGGCCCCTCTCACAGAGAAATATTGATGCACAAAAGGCCAATATGGCTCACTAGGGCCTGGTCTGTACTCCACAGGAAGTTGAAGTAAGAGACACAACTCCAGCTATGTAAATTACGTAGCTGGTGTCCACGTATCTCACATTGAGTTTCTGCGCTGTCCACACAGTGGGAGACAACAGGCATGGGCGGCCTGCCGCTCTGCCTCCAACCCCTCCCCTTCTGTTCAGGCCATACACCCCATCACGAGGAGGGCTGGCGGCACGCAGACTGAGCCTCCCCGACCCCAGAGCACAGAGAGGGAGGAGGGCACACGGCCCCAGCCTCTCTGGCCCTGAAGTGTGGGAAGGATGGGTGCTTAGTGGCTGCAGAACCTTCCCCCACCTAATTTACCGGTCGCCCATGCTGACAAGCTTCCATTGGCTTCCCTTACGCCTCGTGAGGAACAGGAGTACCAGGACCGATGGGTACATCCTTTGTGTTCTATCTAGAGCAGGGGTGGGCAATAGTTTTTGATGGGTAAGTGGTGAGCGGATGCACTTTTCTATGGAGGGAATGCAAGGTCTGGGGTGGAGGTTGGCTGTAGAAGGGAGCTCGGGGTAGGACACTGGAGTGCAGGAGAGGGTGTAGGGTCTGAGAGTTTGGGGAAAGGAGGAGTTGTGAGCTGGGGCAGGGGAATGGGGTGCAGGAGAGGATTCTGGCCTGGGGGGTGTACAAGTGGATGCAGAGTCTGGGAGGGAGTTGTGACTTGGGGCACAGAGGGAAGTGAAGACAGTTCGGTGGTGACTTGGGGCAGGGAGTTGGGTTTGTGTGTGGGGTGGTGGTGGTGCCAGATGCAGGCTCTGGCCCAGAGGCACTTACTGAGGTCGCTCCCGGCCAGCAGCCCAGTGGGACCCTCAGACAGGTTCCCTGCCTGCCGCAGCCCCAGACTGCTCAAAAGTGACTGGCTGCTCCATGTCGCTCTCCGCGCTGCACGTCAGGGTGGGGAGGGGCTTCCTGCACTGCCCTCACTCCCAGCACAGTCTCTCAGCTCCCGCTGGCAGACCTGCCAAATCGAACCCCTGAAGATAGACTGCAACAGTGTCAATTTCCACTTAGTGTAGACGTGCCCCAGATCTGAACTGTGAACCTTTGTCTCTTGCTCTGGCTGAGCAGGAAAGCAACAACTGCAATTCTGTCTTTTGCAGGCTGTTGGGCTTTGACTGGCCCCGAAGAGGCGAGCGGCCCCTTGGGAGGGTCGCTGTCTGTGCAGTGCCAGTACAAGGAACGCTACCAGAAATACAAGAAATACTGGTGCAGAGGAATATTTCTGTTTTCATGCTCCATAGTCATTCAGACCGAAGGCTCAGAGGAAAAGCTGGCAGGGAACAGAGTCTCCATCCATGACAACCACACTCAGAGCACGTTCACTGTGACCATGGAGAGCCTAGCATGGAACGATACGGATACTTACTGGTGTGGGATAGACAGGCCAGGTTTCGATTCCATGATCAATGTCAATGTGCTTGTTTTCTCAGGTAAGTCCTTTAAGTGCTGTGATGTGTGGCTCCAATCACCCACCCCTGTGAGCCACTGGGTTACCAGTGCACCTCAGACCACTGAGTGTGGCTGGTGCTGGTGCTAAGCTAGGAGTTGGTTCCCTCACACTCCAGCTTCTCTGCCTGGCCAGCTGCCAGTCCAAACCTTGCCCTGCAGGCAACACAATTCCCAAATTCCCAGAGATGTTTCTCTGCAGCAGCCAGACCCTCCGACCGGCCACACAGAAAAGTTATTGAGTTAAAACACACCCCAGCCTGTCAGTTTAGCAGAGGACTTCACCCTTCCCGTTAACGTGCAGCCCAGGGATGGTTGTGTAATAAAACAAGAGTAACTTTATCACTAACGAACAGATGTTCAGGTGATGTAAGTGGGAACATAAGACAGGGATATGGTTACAACAAAACACCACCATGCTTTCCAGGGACGGAAACTTAATTCAGCAAGTTACAATCTTTGCCTAAACAGGTTTCTCACCTGTAGTCAGTTCCCAGAGACATCCAAACCCTTGGCTGAAGAATCCACCTTCAGCTGATTACCAGAGCTCTGACCTCTTGTGTCCCTCGAGCGGGGTGGAGAGGGGGGTGTGCCAAAATGGCTTTCCACTTCTGCTCCTATTTCCAATGTCTATTTTGAGAGGCTTCAGGTGGGTGGGTGGGTGTGTGCAAGCTCCATCCATACTAGCACATACCTGTGATTCTTTAAGCACCGCCCTTACATCCCTCAGACACTAATATCGTTGAGCAGGACGTTACCAGTTTGCACAGGATACTGTAATGACACTATTCAGACACAGATTCTGACAACAGCATGCCGGGGCAATGAACAAGTCAGGCCTGACACGAGTTGCAGCATGAGGTGCTCTATCCCTGCTGGCATTGAGCGGCTCCTTGCGTCACAAGTGGCTTTCATCTTGTCTTGACCAAGGGCCCATGTTTGGTGTCTTATCCGGGATATAATCTCTCCAACTCAGCTGAACTTCTCACACCCCCTTCACAACCTTGAGAAACTCCCGCTTGTTTCCTCGGTTTCCCCATGCAACTCTCTGATCCTTCCCCGTCCCCACTCCTGCAGCAGAGGGAATGATTCCTAGAGGATGCAGCACCTTGTTACAAGTGCCAGTCCTTACTCAGGCAAAACTCCCATTGAAATGCACACAGAGGCTGCCTGAGTAAGGGCTGCAGGATCAGATGAACAGTTAGCACCCAGAGCAAGACAGCGTCACGGAGGTGGGATGGAGGTGAGGGGAGCGGGTAGTTTGCAGGGTCACTGATCTGCAAATCTTTATGCAAGGTAAGGGGGAAATGAATGACAGAGTCAGTAGGCCTGAGTATTTGGCCACCTACTAGATATTTAGGGCTAAAATTTATCAATCCTATGAAAGTTTCATGACTTTTAGTGAAGATGCTGGTTAGTCCCAAAAGTCACATTTTCAGGAATTCTTCACTATCTGTTATTAGGCAGTCTCATCTTTAATATTATGAAAGCTGTCCACTGAGAAGGGAGGGACAGAGAAAATTCCTGAAGGTCTGTGTTAGGTAGGTTATAAAAAAAAGTGGCCATTCATCCCTACAGCGATCAGTACAATCTCTGCCAATGGGTGTTAGGATGGAATGGGGAAGAATAGGGACTGAAATAGAGACACAAAGGGGAAGAGAAATCAGAACTTCCTTTCACCATAGAATCTTTTCCTCCACAAAAGTGTCTCTGGTTTTCCATGTCTATCCCTATCCCTGGTCAGTGACTGAGAAATGGACCATAATAAAATAGTCCAGAATTCAAAATGTACACTAAAGGGGAAAAAAAGACTCAGCAACATCATCAGGAAAACAAAGGGCTAGCCAATACATGTTAAAGGCATCAGACACAGATTTGTTAAGAGAGGACTGTAGCCTACAAATACATAATTAACTCATGGAACTCACTGCTTCAAGACATTGAGGTCAAGAGTCTAACAGAATCCAACTCTCTTATGGAAAATGAAGCCATCCAGTCACTCTGGATTAGGACAGAACTACATTCCATGGATTCAAAGCATCAAATCAGCCACAAAGTAATGAAAGCTAGGAGGAAGCTGTCCAGTGGGTTATGTTATTTCAAAATGGTCTATAATGGAGTTTCTTGCACCTTGTTTGAAAGCATCTGGTATCTACCACTGTTGCAGAAGCTACTTGGCTAGATGGACAGTTTGACTCCGTGGGAATCATCACACTTTCCTGTCTAGAGGGATGTTTGAATGGAGCAGGGAAGAATATGGGGGTACAAAGGGAAGAGAGGAGAAGCCAGGGCCTGTCTGCTCACTTATTGGCCAATAATGCAAGATTAGACATTTAAACACCATGTGCTCATGTCAGGATAGTTCAGTCTCATTTCCTACCTCTGCAGCCACCACTGATCCCTGCAGAGGACACTAAGTCTCACACACTCTCCCATGTCCCTAAGTATTGTTGGGATTAATGCGCCCTCTAATTTTTTCCATCCATATGCACAATAAATTTTGTTATATGCTCTGATGCATGTGCAGATGTGCACCACCAGTAGAAACACATGCTGCTGGATGCAGGCTGTTAATCAGCTGGGCAGCATATGAACTTCTCATAGGTGCTCCCAGGGCTGGATAATCCACTAGGCAGACTAAACATGTGCTTAGGGCACCAGCAAAGCAGGGGCACAAAAAAAAAAAAGAGATTTTATGGTATAGTCTTGTTTTTATTTTGAATTACATATGGGGGGGGGGCACCATAATCTTTTCAGTGCTTAGGGCCTCTATAGGTCTTAATCCGGCCCTGAGTGCTCCCCAGATGCACCGCATAGAAGGAACAGTGGTGGAAGTTCCCCCCAAATCTATTGCACTTAGCTCCCCAAGAACTTAGTCCAACTCCATTCTCATCTCTCCGGTGTCTTATTTGGCATACAGCAAAGCTACAGTATCTCCCTGGGGGCCATCAGCAGACAACGTAGGATACAAAATTACAGCCACTGAGTTAAAAGAAAGCCACCTGGCATCGTTGTTCTCTGCTGGCCATGGCCTAGCGCAGGGCTACTCAACATGCGGCCCATGGGCCACATGCAGCCCACAGCCCATTTGTCTGCGGCCTGTGGTGTGGTTGGGGTTTACGTGGAGCTCAACATGCGGCCCATAGGTGGGAGTCAAAACAAAAAAGTAGTCAGTATAATGGTTAAATTCTTGGACTGTCATTGCTCATTAGAAGTGCTGTCATATGGGTTGGAATGGGGTAAATATTGCATGTTATTAGTATCAACAGAACTGACTCAAATGGGTCCAATGTGTTGTGTAGTCTTGCCTTAATCTTTGTATCCTTGCCCGTCAGTGTGAAAGAAGCTATTTGCATATATTTGCATATATATTTGCATGTAAATGCAACCACACTTAAGTTGTGGCCCTCGGCATGTGCTGTGAGGTATCATTGTGGCCCCCGGGGATTCCAATGTTGAGTGGCCCTGGTGTAGCTAGTACACAGGTCAAGGAGCTCTCTCGGCCCAGTATGACGGCAGCAGCTGGCTTGGACAGGAGATCAGTAACCAAGGGGTTGGTAACACAGTTCTCTCTGCTTCCATTAGACACTACTACTCCCTTACTGCCAATGACGACAGCTGCTGAAGAGGAAAAATCCACCCCCCCCTCCTCCAACATTACTGAAGTGGATGCTGGGTGAGTGCCAAAGCCGGCCCCTCCGACAGGGGCAGAGGGGAGCCACAGGGGTAGAACCATTCAAATGGGCCAGGGGCTCCCTAATGCTGCTACTGCAGTGGTGGCAGCAAGCAGAACCCGGGGTCCTTTCAATCAGTGCTAGAGCCCTGGGCAGCGCTGAGGGCTTCCGGGGAAAGGGGGTGGGGGGCTGCACTTTTTGCCCTGTCTGCCTGAGGTCTCACCCCTTCCGGGAGTGTGGGACCAGTCCCCCTCCTTTCCCAAGGGCCTGATGAGTCTGTCCACTCCCCTAGCCAAAGCACATGCTATAAGGTCACCTTCCACAAAGCTCTGTGGCAGGTTCGGGGTTTCTACACAGCTCATCCAAAGCCAAGGCTACGTCTCTACTGATGCCAAGACTTTCAGTCAGTGGCGGGCAACCTGGGGCTTTACATGTGGCCCGCAACACATTCTGTTTACCATTGCCCACACACAGGGCTCCCAGATTCCACCAGTGTCTGTCTGCAGAGGTTCCCCCCAACCAATATCACTAAAGTTTGACATGCACGTAAAACGAGGGCATGTAAAGTGAGGGGTGTGCTGATTGCACACCATATTGGGAGAGCCGTGTGCTCCCTCTGCATGCAATCGAAGCTCTGCTCCGGGTCAATCGGCACAGCCTGCACATTCTAGCTACGCCAGTGTGGTTAGCAAAACTATTCTATCCCGGGAGCTCATCTTGGTTACGACAATCTTACGGCCCACTGAATTGAAGGAGGACCATTCATACAGCCCACTCGCTAGCCTAGGTTTCCCGTCACTGCTTTAAATCAAACTCACACAACAGGTAAGATTCTAGAGCTCCCCAAGCCTCTGAACGCCAGAGGCACTGAAGAGAAGCATTTTTAGCTGAGTTTCTAAGTTGACCTTCCTGTTCTGCAAACTGGTTCCTGCCCTGGACAGTGAACTCCTTTGCATTACAATGACCACCTGTATTAAGCACACACTTGCAAACAAAAATAAAGCAAAATACATCCCACACGGTCACCACTCTTCTAGCCTGATGTGGTGGGTTGTTAAAGTGCCAGTCCTGCATTGCCCCTCAGGTCTGACCTGCAGGACTCTTGCTATTGCACGGAGCTTAACCGTCAGGCAGGATAATACACCAGGCATATCAGTAGCAGATGGCAGGGCCTGCCTTTTGGAAAGAAAAAAGCAGAAATCACATGACAGCTGATCTGACTTATTTTTGTCTCAAAGTTATTGTCTGTTGTTTCCGTCACATTTTGCAGAAGTGGTTTACAAATCCCAGCCCCAGAAAGAGATTGTGACATTAAGTTCTGTGTAATTAGATCTTTAATTTTTTTAATCAGAAAAGCCAACAATTCATAGCAAAAAAAAGCAGTGCAGTTCTCTAATGGAATAATGTCTAGCACCTTTCATCCCCAGATCTCTCCGTGGTTTACAATGGAGGCCAATATCATTATAACCATTTTACGGATAAGGAAACTGAGGCACAAGAGGCAATGTGACTTGCCCACAGTCACCCATTGGCAGAGGCAGGAATAGAACCCAGGCCTCCTGAGAGAGGTCTAGTGCTCTAACCATTGGGTAACACTGTCATCTATACATAGAAGAAGGGGTTCCTTGATCATTTTGACCTGGTTATTTAATCATGTCAATTTAATCAATAAAAAAGTTTGTTTTAACATGCCAACTGTAGCAGCCCTGTTAGGTTTACTACAATCAGGCCCACTGCTCTTGCCCTCTGTATAGGGTTTCTGATGAGATTGTATCTTTGTTAGGTACTATGCGGAGTCCAGAGAACTTGTGCCAGAGAAACTGGGCCTTGCTCCTAACATGTCCTTAGGTGCTTAACTCTCATTGAAGTCCGTGGCAGTTAGGCATCTAAATACAGTGAAGGCCCCAGTTTGCATTTAAAGCCAGCTGTGAGGAGGGGGAAGCTAGGACTGCCAAGTTTTCCTTTGCAAAATGGTTTCTGTTTATTCAGTTAACGGCTGAACTGCAGTGGCATCATTTCACCAGGAAAGCAAGGTGATAGCTTCCACTCTGCAACCGGCTCTATGCAACTTTGGAGCCAGTCGTTGTACTTGTGCTTCAGTTTCCCATCTGTAAACAGGAGATGGGAGACTGGCTAATACTTACCACTCTGTTGAACAACTCGAAATGGGAGCAAGGTCTATGTCTAATCTTCATATAGCAAAGGGGGAATGTTAAGGGTGAGGATTTCTCTTCTCTTTTACCTAGCATACCAAACCTTATCTTCTATATCGTGACCCCCGTCATTGTGCTGGTTCTCCTGCTGATTTTGTTTGTGGCTGTGAGGTGTAGAAGAACATCACAGAGGAGGAGAAAAGGTAAAAAAAATATATATTCGCTGATCAGCTTTGCTAGGAAGAGTCACTTCCTTCTCCTGGTGTGCAACCCAACCAGTGTTCCCTGTATCCTGGGCACTCAAGAGGGATTCAAATGCTGCCCAGCTGATTAGCAGAGCATGCACAGCTAGGGGTTTTTTTATTTCCACTAGAGGTGCACATTTGTACAGCCTTGATGCACATAAAATTATTCTGCACGCAGATGGAAAAAAAGTCTGCCAATGGATGAAAGAGATAAATAGGAACCTTGATCCCAACTAGTATGCTTCCTTCTTAAGGACCATCCTGTCCCTGTTACCAAAATAAAAGACATGTTCTAAATTCTCCCCTCATACTTAGTCAGTTGCTCCATCCCACAAAATGGTAAAGGCCCTCAGCACACCCAGCTTTAGCTATCGCACACCCCAAGCACAGCAGAGTATCTAGCTCTGGTTAGATAAAGGAGTTGACTTGTTAAAACATAAACAAATAGAAAACAGCTGGTTTTGACCAAGTAGAATTCAGTTAGAATCATCCAATCCTAGGGCTGGAGGAATCCTCAGGAGGTCATTAGACGTACATCTAGACTACAAGCCTCTTTCGAAAAAAGCGTCTAGACTACAAGCAGATTTTTTTTAAAAAGCCAGCCTCTTTTTCAAAAGAGAGTCTAGATGCTCTCTTTCGAAAAAGCACAGTTTGCATTCAATAGTGCCTTTTTCTGAAAGAGTACTTGCGAAAAAAGCCGTTATTCCTTGTAAAATTAGGTTTACTGCTATTGAAAAAACTGCTGTGTTCTTTCGATTTACTTTCAAAAGAATGTGGCTGCAGTCTAGACACAGGTGAAGTTTTTCCAAAAAAACCCTGTTGTCTAGACACACCCTAAGTCCAGCCCCCTGCCCAAAGCAGGCAGGACCAATCCCAACTTAATCATCCCACCCAAGGCTTTGTCAAGCCAAGACTTAAAAACCTCTAGGGATGGAGATTCCACCACCTCCTTAAGTCACCCATTCCAGTGCTTCGCCACCCTCCTAGTGAAAGTTTTTCCTAATATCCAACCTAGACCTCTCCCACTATAGCTTTAAGACCATTGCTCCTTGTTATGCCATCCATCGCTACTGTGAACAGCCTCTTTCCATCCTCTTTGGAACCTCCCTTCAGGAATTTGAAGGCTGCTATTAAATCCCCCCTCACTCTTCTGCAGAATAAATGAGGCCAGATCCCTCAGCCTCACCTCATAGTGCTCCAGCCTCCTAATTATTTTGGTTGCCCTCCTCTGGACCCTCTCTAATGCATCCACATCCTTTCTGAAGTGAGGGCCCCAGAATTGGACACAATATTCCAGATGTGGCCTCACTAGTGCTGAATAAAGGGGAATAATCACTTCTTTAGCTCTGCTGGCAATGCTCCTCCTAATGCACCCTAATATGCCATTAGCCTTCTTGGCTACAAGAGCACACTATTGACTTATATCCAGCTTCTCATCCACTGTAATCCCCAGGCCATTTTCTGCCAAACTGCTACCTAAGCAATCTGTCCCCAGCCTGTAACAATGCTTGAGATTCTCCTGTCCCAAGTTCAGGACTCTGCACTTGTCCTTGTTGAACCTCATCAAATTTTTTGGCCCAATCCTCTAATCTGTCTAGGTCACTCTGGACCGTATCCCTGCCCTCCAATGTATCCACCTCTCCCCCTAGCTTAGCTTAGCTTAGTTTAGCTCAGTTGCTTAAATTAGATTAATTAGCACCAGCCCAGAACAAAAACTCTATAGAAATCATTTCCCTTTGATTCCCTGATTTCATCAGCTGCTCCTGAGAACTCCTCCAGCCTGTAGTGATTCCCAATTGCTCCTGCAAAGTTCTCTCCAGCTAGCCCACAAGCCCCATGTGGCCTCCAGCCGGGTAATTCTGTGATTTTCAATTAGCTGCAGCTGAGCTTGCCAGGGTCTGAGGGATAGTGGGAAATAGCTGACACAGCTTTTTCCTTCCTAAACTCAAGCCAGAGGGAGCGCAGCTGCTGCCTCAGCAAAAAGAACGGAACCAACCCTGTGGAGAAAGTTGTGCCCATCTAACTAAAACTGGGTCAAGAAATGATTTTGTTAAACTACGGCAGAATCTCTGCAGCCATTTATTTATCATTTATTTATAAGGCTGCTGCAGTGCAGAGACCACTGTATATCATGCGGATAGCTGTTCCCACGGGGTTTCTTGTTCCTCCCCTGCTCCACTCATCTGCTGTCCCTTGTCTTCTACCTACACAGCCAGCTGTTTAGGTCTCTGTTCTGGGCTTGTGCATTCCACCCCCCAATCTGAAACAAATTATTTTTGGTAACAATACTACACAGCTACAACATAAACATCCAGGAACCCAGCCCTGTAATCAGCCCCAATGCCAACTCTGCCCACATATCTATACAAGTGAATATATTACTGGAGCCAACCACATAAGCAACCAAATCAGAGGTTCATTTAACTGCACATCCAGGAATGTAATTATGCCATCAAATGCCAGCAATGCCCCACTGCAATATATATTGGACAAATTGGACAGTCCCTATGGGAAAGAATTAATGGACACAAATCAGATAGCTGTAGAGGGAACATAAAAAAAACCCTGTTGGGGAACACTTCAATCTGCCTAGGCATTCATGAACAGATCTTCAAGTGGCTGTTATCTGCCGCTTTTGACTATCCAGTCTTTAGGTGCTTATAGACTATTTGTTTTTCCTGTTACATTCCAACTCAGCTTTCCCCTTGATATATTTATACCCACTGCCTCTTCTTCTCCCCCCCATCTATTTTAGTTCTAGACATCCAACACTCTGGTCATCTGAAGAAATGGGCTGTGCCCACAATAGCTCATGATACCATCTACATGTTTTGTTAGTCTTTAAAGTGCTACCAGACTATTTGTTGTTTAAGTCTATTCCATACAGACTAACTCGGCTAATCCCTAAAGCTTTAGTTACTTAGTTCAGTTTGGGTGTGTCTAGACTACATGGCTCTGTCGATGGAGCTATGTAGATGAGTTTACTAGACATAGCAAAATGAAGCGACGATTTAAATAATCGCCGCTTCAGTTACATAAAAATGGCCACCACATTGTGCCAATCAGCTGATTGTTGGCACAGCGCGGTAGTCTAGACGGGGATCAGCCGACCCCAGCACCCTTTGTCGTCAGATCTTTTATGCCTTGTGATCCCGTCTTGATTGCCACTTCGTGCCAACAAACAACTGAGCGGCACAACACGGCGGCCATTTTTATTCTAATGAAGTGGGGGATATTTAAAACCCCGCTTCATTGACTATGTCGGTATGTCTAATTTACATGCCTTGGTTGGCAGAGGCATGTAGTCTAGAGACATACCCTAACAGATTTATTTGAGCATCAGTGTTCGTGGACAAAAACCACTTTGTCAGAAGCGTGCAGATGGATTGAATTGAAACCAATTCTTTATTCACCTAAATGAAATAGAAATGAGTTGTTCTTATACTGAAGTGACTCTCTATCCAGAATTCTGCCCTGGTTTATCTAAATCGGGTTTTGACCTGATTTAATTTAAATGGATGCAACTTTTGCACATGGATGAAGCCTCGAAGAGCACGTTTTATTGGATAGTGCTAATCTTGCTTCTCAGCTTCAGGGAGCTGCAGCCACACTGCTTTGTTAGCTCCCTTCCAGGGAGTACAGATCCATGGTTCTCCTGGCTTTTTTCTAATTCTGGGAAGAGATTAGCACGAAAGCTGCTTCCACAGCAAGTTAGAGAAATGTTACTGACTTGTCACTCTCCCCAGACTGTAGCTCTCCCCCTCTCTCTGTCTCTTATTTGCACGCTGCATGAAAGAGGCATTCTCAAAGCAGAAAAATCCAAATCCTCAAAGGGAATTAGGTTTCTAACAATTAGAAACCTAAATAATGTGGAGGATTTGAGCCAAACTGCTAATTCTTAAAGTAGGGCTGCTCAACTTAAGAGTGGTTGAATCTACATGCAAATAACATCTTTCACACTGATGGGCACTAATACAAAGATTAAAACAAGACTACACAACACAACAAACAGGCCCCATTTAAGTCAGTTCTGCTGATATTAATAAAATACAATATTTACCCGATTTCCACCCATATGACAGCACTTTTAATGAGCAATGACAGTCTAGGAATTTAACCATTAAAACACATGTCAACAGAAGACCATTACGTTGACTCGCTGTTGTGGAGCATGTAGCCAGTGCTGGCCATGTTCAAAGGATCTCACTCGCAGACTGTGCGTTAAGCCCATGTGTAAACCCAAACTGCACTGCGGGCCACAAACAAACAGGTCCGTGTGTTGAGTAGCCCTGCCTTAAAGGGAAACTGCCTCCAGAGTCTTAGAGATCCCTAAAAAGACACCAGGGTTGGCTGGAAGTCCCGTTCCTTAACATGTGGCTCCCCCAGAGCTTCCCTCCTCCAAACAAAGCAAGGGGGTAGGGAGAAACAAACTCCCCAAAGCTTTGCTCCCCGACATTGCAGGGCAGGACTGCGCCAAGTGCCTTAGACAGGCCTAGCCATACAAGAAAGTCACTTTGTCAACTTGCTACATTTCCTCTCTTTGACTCTTTCAGCTCTCGAGGAAACACCAGGAAAGAGGGATGAGAACGGCCATACCTATAATACGGTAAGGCAGGCTCTGGGGGAGGCACTCAAACTGAGTGATGAGCATGGTACAGAATACAGCAGGAGATTATCAGTGGCTCCCTGAGATTAGAGTACAGCCGTTCCCCAAGTTGCGAATGGTCAATTTACGACCATTCGCATTTACAACCGAAGCTGTTGTAAATGGCGGACCCCGAGTTACGAACACGATCCGCGCTTACGAACAGTGTGGTCGCGTGTAACTCTATGGGGTCCAACTTACGAACAAACCGAGTTACAACCAATCACTTGGTCCATAACTGGTTCATAAGTCAGGGAGAGGCTATATTTCACACACTGCTGAGCCCCTGAAAAGAGGACGTGCCAACATCATTCACCCAGTGCTACAAAATCCATCCTCAGAAAGGTCCAGTAGTGCAGGTTAAAGTCAAGCTCAGAAGTGTCTGTGTCCCTCTAGTAGGGTTGCCAGATACCTTCATAAAAAATCCTGAACAGGCAAGGAAAAATAGGTTGAGCAAAAAACAAAAAAAAGAGAGGTCGCTGCCCCTTTAAATGACCATGCTCCTCACTCCCCCTGCCCTCGCAGATGCCACCGGCCATCTTTTTGAGAAAAAAAAAGGCCTCTGTGCCTTTAAATTACCACGTTCCTCACTCCCCCCACCTTCACAGATGCTGCCAGCCTTCCATCTGAGGAAAACAGAAAATGAGAGACATTTTACATGTCCGATATTCTCTGTTTTTTTTTAACTGGATGGAAGGCCAAAATACCGAACTGTCTGGGTGAACACCAGACACCTGTCAACCCTACCCTCTAGTCCAGGGCTGGGCAAGATGCAGCCTGGAGGCCAGATCCGTCCCTCCTAACACTTTGATCTGGCCCGAAGACGGCATCTGGCGTCTTTCTGTTTATATCCTGCTGCCTGTGCCACTGAATTTCCAGGCGGTGGCTCAGGCAGCAGCATCCTATTTAAATGGCTCACAGCTCCCCGTCACAGTGTTACCCCAGCAGGGGCCAGAGCCATGAGCCCTATAAATTGCCACAGCAACTCCAAGTGGTTGCCAGGCAACATGGTAACAGCAGGGCCAGGCTTTTAAGCCTCCAGGCCCAGACATCTCTTGGGGGAGGCTAGTCCCCAGCCCTGCCCCTTTCTCCCCAGACACTGCCCCTTCTGAGGGTGGAGCTGGCCCATGACCACATACCAAAATTCATCAGTGGCCTCTCTGAAGAAAGGATTGCCTACCCCTACTCTAGTGGCCAGTTCACATAAGTTAAGCACGTGCTTCCATGGCCCGCTAAGGGCATTACTATTGTAGCTCCGTATGATGCTTCCTGGTGGTACCCAGGATTGTGGTGGTACCTTGCTACCACCTCTGCCCTTAGCATGAGGATCCCTGTCTGTGCCTGTCATGGGTCAGCTCCCCAGCATCACCTGCCATTGGCGACACTAGCCATCCCTTCTAAGTCCTACTGGTCTTGTATTACTCTACAGGTTAGCAATAGGTATGTCCCAATCCTTGAGCCCTCCATGCACCTCCCTGGAGTGTCTCACCAGACACTCGCAGTGGTCCCAGAGCTAGCACTTCCAAAGAACAACACACCCCAGATGGCCAGTTCTGCCTCCACATACCACTCCAGTGAATACACGGCTCTTAGAGAAGTTACATTTGTTGAACAAAGCACAGGGATTCAAGGCACAGCAAGCAGAAGTATCAGAAACAAAGTGACATAAAAACAAAAATCATAATGTGTATTCTAAAACCTAGACTTAATGAAGGAGCTACTCCCATGTTTTGTAGAGTGCTGCTCACCCTAAATCTGTACAGCGCTTTACAACCCGACTGTCTGTGTTCCCCTTTCATGAGACTAGTGCATTGTCAGTTTGCCTCCAGGGGGAGGATCCAATGTGTCACTTTGTATTCCAAGCGACAATCCTTTGTTTTTACTGATAAACAGAACATCCTCCCCAGCCCGCGGAGGCTATTGGTTTATTCCTGTAGATTTGCTCAGCTGTAGATTTCAGTCTCTCAGTCCTCCCCAGCTCTGGGTATAAACAGGTAGAGCCCTGCATGGATAAAAAATGTGTACCCGCATCCACATCCACAATGAGCTGTGGATATCTGCACCCATCTCTGTGGATGCAGATACCTGTGGATATAAAGTGGATATCCATGGACTTGCAGGGCTTGAGAAATAGGCACGCACAGTACCCAAATGAGCAGACAAGGAAATAGGTGTCTGTTATCTCCTGCCTGCAAAGAACATCTCTCACCCGCTGGTGACCTGCCTTCATTCCAAGACTTTACGCACATAATTTCTGTATAACTCTTTAAATATTATCCACATATACATTTTGCATTGATTATGAGGACCAATGGACTACTGGCTCTTGGTAGAGACCATACATGCCACCTGTCATGCTGACCCAGAAAATCCTTGTAAAACTTACACACCTCTGGTGCTCTTCAGCAGTTGACACCACTGTTCCTTGGATCACACTCATGTCAGGAACCTGTGCTTCAAGCAGGAAATTCCCAACCTGCCTGATGAACTCATGGAGATCAGGAAAGATCCTGGATGATTGGAAAAAGGCAAATGTAGTGCCCATATTTTAAAAAGGGAAGAAGGACAATCTAGGAAACTACAGGCCAGTCAGCCTTACCTCAGTCCCCGGAAAAATCATGGAGGGGATCCTCAAGGAATCCATTCTGAAGCACTTGGAAGGGGGGAAAGTGATCAGGAATAGTCAACATGGATTCACCAAGGGCAAATCATGCCTGACTAATCTGATCAGCTTCTACGATGAGTTAACTGCTCTGTCGACATGGGGAAGTCAGTGGATGTGATATATCTTGACTTTAGCAAAGCTTTTGATAGGGTCTCCCACAATATTCTTGCCAGAAAGTTCAGGAAGTATAGATTGGATAAATGGACTGTAAGGTGGATAGAAATCTGGCTAGATTGTCAGGCCTAATGGGTATTGTCAAGGGCTTGATGTCAGGTTGGTGGTCAGTTTCAAGTGGAGTGCCCAAAGGATCATTTCTTAGGGTTGTTTTGTTCAACATCTTTATTAATGACCTGGATAAGGGGATGGAATCCACCCTCAGCAAGTTTGCAGATGAAACTAAGCTGGGGGAGAGGTAGATACACTGGAGGGCAGGGATAGGGTCCAGAGTGACCTAGACAGATTAGAGGATTGGGCCAAAAAAAATCTGATGCAGTTCAACAAGGACAAGTGTAGAGTCCTGCACTTGGGACAGAAGAATCCCAAGCATTGTTACAGGCTGGGGACCGGCTGGCTAAGTAGTTGTTCGGCAGAAAAGGACCTGGGGATTACAATGGATGAGAAGCTGGATATGAGTCAACAGTGTGCCCTTGTAGCCAAGAAGGCTAATGGCATATTAGGGTGCATTAGACAGAGCATTGCCAGCAGATCTAGAGAAGTGATTTTTCCCCTTTATTCAGCACTAGTGAAGCCACATCTTGGATATTGCATCCAGTTCTGGGGCCCCCACTATAGAACGGGGGCGGACGCATTGGAGAGGGTCCAGCAGAGGACAACCAAAATGATTAGGGGGTGGAGCTCCTCACCTATGAGGAGAGACTGAGGGAATTGGGTCTGTTTAGTCTGCAGAAGCGAAGAGTGAGGGGGGATTTGATAGCAGCCTTCAACTTCCTGAAGGGAGGTTCCAAAGAGGATGGAGAGAGGCTGTTCTCAGTAGTGATGGATGGCAGAACAAGGAGCAATGGTCTCAAGTTACAGTGGGGGAGGTGTAGGTTGGATGGATATTAGGAAAAACTATTTCACTAGGAGGGTGGTGAAGGTAGGGGGTGGAATCTCCATCCTTAGAGGTTTTGAAGTCTTGGCTTGACAAAGCCCTGGCAGGGATGAGTTAATTGGGATTGGTCCTGCCTTGGGCAGGTGGCTGGAGTTGATGACCTCCTGAGGTCTCTTCCAACCCTATGATTCTATAAACTAAGGTGGCGAAGGAGGGGTCATTATTTAGATTCAGACAGCAAAGGCATCATCCTTAACATGGCTGCAGCTTAAGGCAGTACAAAGAGTTACAGGGAATCTTTTTAACCTTTACTGGTTTTTTTAACCTTTCCAACCCCACCCCTATAGCTTCTCAGTTTGTCATGTTGGTACGAGGGTTCCCTTAGAGTTTCCTGTTTGCCCTGAGCTCCTCACACCTCTGTTTCAGAATCCCGGGCACACCCGTCCCTTCATTCCATCAGAGACTGCAGAAACTGACCAGATGGCAATCTATATGAACAAGCCGCCCCCGCCCAGCTCAGCCGAACAGGACTCCGAGTATGAAAACATGCAGCTGAGGAGTCAGGTAGGCAGAAAGCCCAGTGACGGCCCGTGTGTACTCCCCCATTCTGGAATTCCCTTGCTCCCAGGCCTGGAAGAAGAGGTTCCAGTGAAGGGCCAAATCCTTCCCTCTTCCTCTTGCTTGCCAACAAGCAGTCCCTTGGAGCGGCAGCAGCTTGCGAACCCTGCAGCCAGGCACACCCTAATTCAAGCTGGGGAATTGCTGTGCTTTGCACAGTTCTCTTCCTCTGCCTGGCGCTGCCTCCAGTGACTCCACCTCCCCTGCTGGTTGCTGCGTCTCTCTGATTCCTGGTGTCTTTTTTATTGCAGGTTTCCGGAGGTAGAAAAGCTTCTTCAGACCCAGAGGACTGCTCAGCCACCGATCAGCGGGAGGTCTACATCAATATGTGCCCAATCAGACAGTCCCCACCTCTTTATAGTCAAGCAAAGTGTAAGGGGAAAAGCTGATGCCCTTCTTCCTGGGATATTCAGCAGCTCGTCCTTATTTTCCTAGTGCCCCATGAACACTATCAGACCAGCATTCCCTGCCCCCTGCTTCTGCTGAGCAGTCTGCCTGCAGCAAGATGGGATGGGGGGAGGTTTGCTCCCAGCATGCCAGTTTCCAGAACTCTCCTGTCCTGGGAGGACAGTGGGAGGGAGCAGCTACCGCGAAGTGCTTCTCTTCTGCCTTGTCCTCAGCTTGACACAGCACAAGGGCGTGGCAGTTCGGTTTCCTGAAGGGCTGGAGGGATTCCTGTGGCACCTCCCTGTGCCGAAGCCAAATCCTTGCTCCCAAAACTCACCTGGAGCAAAGCAGCTTGTTTCTGGGATCAGAACCTCTGGGCTGGAGATGATGCTGGGGAACAGGGCCCGAGGGCAATGGATGTGGGGATGAGACTAAAGCTGGGAAGATGGCCCAGAAGGAACCAGCTTTGTACTTCTTTTCACCAGTTAGCCTGGAGCTAGCTGTGCTGGAACCTTTTCGCTCTGATCTTATTTTACTACAGTCACCTGGAACACGAAGGGCACATGGATTCCTTCGCTTTACAGAGGTAACGGTGAAAAGACTGAGAGCTCATCACCCCTACGTTTCTTTGACTCTGTGTTACAAGACCAATAATTTGGCTTTCTGGGCATGCAGCAAAAGCCTTCTGTTGGCAGTGTTTCCTATAAGCCAGGCACTTGTGCAACCACTCAAGAGAGATTCCAATGCCACCCAGCTGATTAGCAGAGTGCCCACATAAAATGCCTGATACACATAAAAATTTATTCCACACATGGGTGCACAAGATTAAAGAGAACATTACCCGCTGGATAAACTTTGTGGAGAGGATTGAGGGTATGTTCCCAGAACGATGAAGGGCTAGGAAGGAACTTTCACAGTTGGTTAGCTGGACAGCCAGGCTGAGTTTGCTGAGCTGAACTATTTAGTTCCTCTTTGACTGCTTTTCAAGGCAGCAGGGGGCTGTTACATTGTAACATTAATCAGCTACAGCCTTTGCACAGGCGTCTTTCGGATGAAACTCTCAATAAATAAGAGCCGCACAGCCAGCCTTTGCACAGGCGTCTTTCGGATGAAACTCTCAATAAACAAGAGCCGCACAGCCAGTACTTAGGTAGCAGGGCCGAGCACTTCTGCAGGTACATGTCCAGGGCCAGACTTTGGGAAAAGCCTGGAGAGGATTTAGGCTTAAACTAATTTGCAAACATTAGGCCTCTGAGTCATCCTGATGTTGCCCGGGCCAGTGCTTCAGGCCTTGCGAGTGTAGTGAAGGATGCTTCTGCGGGGAAAGCCTAGAGCTACAATCAAGAGAGCTGACCATACCTGTAAGAGGAGCAGGCCCCAGGGAGATGCTTGCACAACACAACACAACTTGCAGACAACAGGCTAAGTACATTCAGGTCCCCTCTTGCCAAGGTCAAGGTTGAGGGTTCAAGCCATGCTCCTCCACAGACAACCACCCCAGGTTCCTGAGGGACAGAGCTGGTGCAACAAACCCCAGCTGACCACAGGGGAGAATAGCATCTGAGGGATAAGGAATAGGGCACTGAGTTCTCCAGAATATGGCCCCTTAGAGCAAAAAATGGGACCCAGCGCCATAACAGAGAGAACTGATGATGCTGGCAGCATTTCATATTCTGAAGAGATGATGTGCTGCTGCTGTTTTAACAAATTTTCTCCCCTAGCCTGCAAGCCCCTGTAGCCCAGGGTTGTGTGCACTAGAGACAGGAAGGGGCAAGGAACTGGGGGAATCTATTCCTTTGCTTTCCTGTTAAAAAAGGCACCGAGTTTACAGAAAGGAAGCAGATTCAAAGCATGTTGCAAACCAGAAAACCTGGGTTGCAGGTGTCGGGGACTCGAACCCGGACGGCCTCTGTTCGTTGTCTGACCGCAAAGAGACAGACAACACCAGCAAGATCCAATCACAAGCTCTTTATTGAATGGTGCACACAACAATAGAGAGCGGCCCGTCTCCAAAGTGAACCAGCCCCGATTTCATTTACAGGTAGGCTTATATAGACAGTTCCATCGCGTCATAGACTATTCGCCCAAGCAACTAACCCCCCTCAGTTAGAAACCTCTAATACCCATGCATACCTGGCCAACTATACATCATGGCCTTAAGCAATTCATAATGCATCAGCAATTTCTTATCAGCCCAAAAGACAGGTACTGGGCAATAAGGAGACAGTTTGTTATGGCCAAAGGAGAACATAAACAGGGAGTTTGGAACAAACGGGGAGAGCAGAAACAGGGAGTCTCCTTATCAGTTCTCAAAACAAACTGTTCCTCATCACAGCAGGTACAAAAATGCAGCTTCTTGCTTATCTCATTTTGCCAACTTGAGCAAGCGTGTAGGGTGCGTCCCTGCTTGAACCTATCTCCAGTTCTGTCCAGGGACTACCCAGAAACCTTTGTTACATTTGCTTTAGCATAACTGCACTAGGCCTATTTTTTCTAGGGCCTAACACAGGTCATGACAAAACACAACGTTAACATGTAGCACGGGTCAAGTTAAACATGTGCAGAAGTCTCTGCAAGATCAGGGGCCTTCATTTCTTAAATTTTATCAGACATCCCCCACTTCTGGCTGGTGCAGCCTGGAGGAGCCTATGACCCTTGTCAGGAAATACAGAGGATTGCTACTGCAAATGCTAATGGAACTGGCAGCAAGAGCACAATTGGTAGAGCTCGCTGGAAAACAGATTCTCAGCTCCTCCTGCCTCTTTGTCCCTGTGTGGAAAATTTTGATTTTTTTTGGTCAAATTAAAACCCAGCCATTGCTGGTTGTTTGGATTTCAAATTGAAAGGGAAAGTGGAAATTTCCATGGCAAGCTGGCCCCCTGGGGAGAAGCTGTGTTTAACTGACAACCTAATTTTCCATGACAAATAAAACCCAGAGAGAATTGGAGAGTCTCGTTTTTATTCTGAGCAAATCCAAAAAAGCGTCGGCTTCCGAACCAAGATGTGCCAGGCCCTGGTTTGAAGGGGAGGGGTTGGACAGAGAAGGAGGGTAAGTTTTAGGCCTATCCTGGCAGTGTCTGTTTTAAGTAGAGATGTGAATGGTTAACAGGAGCGCCCTTACCAAGTGATGTTCATTGGTTGCGGTTAACTGGTGGGCTGCAGCAGTCCCCTACTGACCCCCATTTAATTGGTTAACCACTTAAAGATACTGTTTAACCAGTTAACTGGTTAAATGGGATTTTCTGTCCCCAGTTTTAAGTGAGATGCTTAGTCGCCGCTGTAAAGTCTGTGTGTGGAGCTGGGAGAGAACGCAGGTCTCCTGGCCACCATGATACTGCTTTAATCTCACGACTAGTCCTTCCCCCCGGCAGGGCCTTCTGTCTGCATGTGCAGGAATTCCATTGTGTGCAACCAAAGGACAGTACGGGGTGGCTGCCCCAGGTCCCGCACTTTGAGGGACCCCGTGGCGGCTGTCTGAACTGTCCTATTGACAGGCCTGGTGTGGGGCGGCAGCAGGGGTCAACCCCCCCCCCCCTGCATTCACCGAGGCGTCAGGGGCCAGAGCGGACCAACAGCCTTCTCCATTCCTCCCCGCCACCCTGTCCCAGCCCACTGCACTTGGCTTCTCAGCAACAGCAGGAAGCAGAGCCCCCCCAGCCCCAAGGCACTCCACTTCCTGCCACCACTGAGAAGCCGGGCACAGCAGGCTGGGAGGGCAGCATGGCAGGGCATGGCAGAGCAGAGCAGGCTGCCCAGCCGCAACTCTTCTGTTGCCATGGTGAATGTGGGAGAGGGGGGTGACCCCCTGCTGCCACCTTGCGCTTGGCCCCCAGTAATCTCCTGGTTTGGGGAAAGGGGGCGGAGCAGGAGCAGGAAGGGGCATGGTGGGGGCAGGGCAGGGATGGAGTTGAGGCAGGGCCTGTAGGGTGGGTTGCTCAGAGGGTCCCGTGTGTGGGGCACTGAGAGGGGGTTGCCTTAGGCCCTGCACACCCCTCAAGACAGCCCTGTTTGCAACCACTTCCTAAGGCAAGCATGCCTGGTGTCTCACAGAGGGCTGCAGAAGCTGACACCCAGGAGTTGCTACTAAGCAGCAGTTCTCACTGCCCTTCAGGGGCTCATTCCATGAAGAAGAGCCAGGGAGGGAGATGCCCCCAAACAGATACAACAGTGGAACTTCCAGTGACTGATTGCGGCGGAGAAGCAATTGTAGTTTCACCGCCTCAGCTTCCACAGCCGAGTGAGGAGCAATTCAAGGGGACACAGTCAGAGCTCAGCAGCAGATTCAGAAAGAAACGTAACGCCTCCGCACACAAACGCAGGAAGTGCCTGGCCGGTCACGCACAGGGGCTCGAGCATGGAGCCTGAGATAGATGAAAACAAAGTTAGCCCGGTGGGTGGAAACTCCCAGCAAAAGATGTGCTGGTCCTATTCTTAGTTTTGAAAAGCCCCGCTCTCTAGAGAGCTCGCAGGCTGGCACCGATGAAGGCAGAAGGACTTCCCTTCCATTCTGCAGAGCTAGGATTGAGGCCAAGTCTTCACAACTGGAGAACATCAACCGAAGATCCACAACTCTAATTACAAGAATAGTAAAGATGAAGTTGACACATCTTAAGTCGAATTTCTGTGGTATCCGCATTTTGGGAGGTCTCATAGACTCATAGACTCATAGACTTTAAGGTCAGAAGGGACCATTATGATCATCTAGTCTGACCCCCTGCACAGTGCAGGCCACAGAATCTCAACCACCCCTCTTATAATAATCCTCTCACCTATGTCTCAGATATTGAAGCCTTCAAATACTTTGAAGGCCCCAACATGCAGAGAGTCCTTCAGCTGTGATCTGTGCCCAATGCTACAGAGGAAGGCGAAAAACCTCCAGGGCCTCTGCCCGCCCCCCTCTTTTCCCCCCCCCCCCCCCTCCCACATGTTGCCTTGAAAAGAGGTGGATCCATCCTGGCAGCCCAGCCAGTGTATACAGTACTGTGCAGGGAGGCTTGCATCAGGCTGGTTACTCACCCCTATCCCTGTGAATCATAGAATCATAGAGCTGGAAGAGACCTCAGAAGGTCATCAAGTCCAGCCCCCTGCTCTAGGCAGGACCAATTCCAATTAAATCAACCCGGCGAGGGCTTTGTCAAGCCGAGACTTAAACACCTCTAGGGATGGAGACTCCACTACTTCCCTAGGTAACCCATTCCAGTGCTTCACCACCCTCCTAGTGAAATAGTTTTTCCTAATATCCAACCTGGACCTCTCCCACCACAACTTGAGACCATTGCTCCTTGTTCTGCCATCTGTCACTACTGAGAACAGCCTCTCTCCATCCTCTTTGGAACCTCCCTTCAGGAAGTTGAAGGCTGCTATCAAGTCCCCCCTCACTCTTCGCTTCTGCAGACTAAACAGACCCAAGTCCCTCAGCCTCTCCTCGTAGGTCATATGCTCCAGACCCCTAATCATTTTGGTTGCCCTCCGCTGGACCCTCTCCAATGCGTCCGCATCCTTTTTGTAGTGGGGGGCCCAGAACTGGACACAGTACTCCAGATGTGGCCTCACCAAAGCCGAATAAAGGGGAATAATGACATCTCTGGATCTGCTGGCAATGCTCCTCATCGACTTCCTTTACTCTCCATGACCTAGTGGAGTACCAAGGTTGATGGGGACTCCCTCAGCAGTCGATTTAGTGGGTCCTTACTAGATCCACTAAATCAAACCCCAGGAGATTGATCTCTGGAGCCTCAATTTCAGGGTAAGTGTAGACCTGGCCTGAGGCATTACAAATCCAAGGTTGTAATGACAATTCTGGAGCTGCCCCTGAGGAAAGTAGTGACTAAGCTGATAACCCAGAAGAGGATGATCTGGCTGCTCAAGAAAATTGGGGCTGATCAACCTCTAGTTTCTGTACCAATGTAACTATGCAAATGAAAGTTTGCCTGTTTAAATACACGGATACAGTCAAACTGGAAAGGCCCTCCTAGTGTAGAAGCAATGCCATTGCTATACAAGTGCACACAGCAATATAGTTTCAGGATCAGGGAACGAGCATAAGCCATACGTATATAAGCACTCTTATGATGCTGCAACTTCATCTGCACTAGGGTTTTTACTGGCATAGCTGTGTTGCAACAAACTGTACCCCTAACCAGGATAGCTATGCCCATAAAACTTCTGTGTTAACTAAGCCAAAAAAAAACATTGTTGTGTCAGTGTGCCCCCTGGTGGGGATGCAGCTACCCTGGTACAGTAAAACCTGTGTTATCTGGCACACTCAGGGATTAGGGTGTTCCGGTTATCTAAAAATTCCGGTTATCTGAGGGTCCCATCAACCTAGGAAAAACCAATGGACAATAATAGTAAAACTCAAGTTTTTAATATTAGTAGTTTTGTAGTGTTAGGCAGTTGGTCTCTCATTTTTATTTGGAGTTAAAGATGATTAGTACTTCTTAAATAAAAAATTGTTAAGCCAATTGTGGTAAACCAAGCCAGGCCTGTGCACCTGAAGATGTGAGGGTATGTCTACACTACCACCCTAGTTCAAACTAGGGTGGTTATGTAGGCAACCGGAGTTGCAAATGAAGCCCGGGATTTGAATTTTCCGGGCTTCATTTGCATAAAGCCGGGCGCCGCCATTTTTAAATGTCCGCTAGTGCGGACTCCGTGCCGCGCGGCTACACGTGGCACTGACTAGGTAATTCGGACTAGGCCTCCTCGATTCAAGAAGGACTAGGGAAAGGACAAGCCTACAATCAAAGAAAGCAAAGCAGCAGAGGACAGCCAGCTGATTATGGGCAGGATAATTTCCCCAGCATGTTCAGAGGGGCCACCCGTTGCTGCAGCCAGTCCTCACTGGGCTTTTCAGCTGTCTCTGGCATGAAGCGGGGAGATGTACAGTATAAGGAACCCACTGCACCCTGGAGGATTGCTGACTTGGCTGGCTCACTTCTAGGGTCTCGCAGAACCATGTGTGCCTTTCTTTACACCTCTCTCTTGCCTGCCCTACTATAGCCCATTACCTGCTTGGGAAGAGACACAGCAAGGACATGCATCTCATCCCATCCAGAGTTCTCCATCGCATGAGAGGAAGGGTGAAAGTCTCCTCGTCTGAGTTTCTTTGTGGTCACTATTAATATACAGGAAGTGTGATTGTGTCTGACTGTGTCTCCGTCCTTCTTTACTTCACCTTTGGACTGTTGATTGCTGCACATGGGACACAAGTTAATCGAGATCCTCCCTTGCACGAGTATTTGCGATAATCCTTACAGCCTTTTCTATCCTGGCACCTCATAACCTCTATTCCAGCTGACAGCTCACCATCTCAAGCCGGGTCACTGCATTCTCTACCCAGCAGCCTGTGCCCAGCACACACTGCCCTGGGGTAGGGTGGCAGATGAATCAAATAGCAGCAGCACAGCTCCATTCCTCCAATGTGCCAGTTTGAGTTGAAGGGAAACCAGCAAAAAAAGCAACATTAAAAAGTTCCCTACGTGCTTTGTGTGTCCGGTCCCATGACTTCCCACAGCCCTGGTGCTATCAGGCCCATGGATTTAGTCATTACTTTATAAAAACCAGCTGCAATTGGCTGAAGCTAACCAGGCAACCACAAGGGATAAAATAGCAGCCACTTCACAAGCCTCCGCACATAGTGTATGTGCCTCCTTGAAAGGAAACAAAACAGCTGAGAAATCAGGAATCTCCCATTTCAGCCCTGGAGAGTAGGACTCAGGTTATCAGTGAGGGTGTTTTTCTGCCTCCTACTCTGTGATGATTTCAGGTTGGAAGCACACACACGAGGCCGAATCTTCCCACTGGATGCTTCAATATGACAACACCACCCGTCTCCTAACCATGGCCTGGGGAGTCGGCCATTCTCTTCATCCCCATATCCCACCCCATCACTGCCTTGCATCCCTCCCCAGCCCCTCAGCCTCTCCCCTCCCCACAGACTCTAGAGGACCAGGAGTTAAAGGGAGGAGGTCCACTGCAAACCACTTACGGGCTCAGTAGTGTCTTTATTCACAGCCTCTCACCAGTTCTTGGAAACGCTGGAGGATTTTTTTTTGGCGGGGGGGAGGGGGATAATTATATATAATCAACCCCAGGAGTTGGTTGTGTGCACAGCACTGGGAGTGGAGGAGGAGCAGCAGGGCGGGATGTGTGTGTGTGAATGGGCACAGCAGGGAGAGGACCTTGCGAGAAGAATTGTGTAAAGCACCTATAGGGGGCAGCAGAGGTGACGTGTAACCAGTCACCCATCAGTCCACACTCACTAACCACGGCAGCAAGCGGCCAGTGCAGGCTGGAAACAGGACAGGGAGTGAAGGGGGCCTGCTGGCCAAGAGGAGGCACATAGCAGGGACTGCACTGATGGGCCAGCAAGGAGAGTGGATGGCCCTGCACAGTGCAGCTGTGCCCAGCCACCAGCTTTGCACTCACCCCATCATTAGCCACTTAACCTCCCCCCACCTCCAAGACTCAGCGCGAGTGAGTGAGCGAGCAGCTGGCGAGTAAGGATCCAGCCAGCAGCTGGACCCACTAGTGCTGATGGGAGGAGAGAGGCAGAAAACACAGGACAATTAGCCCATTCTTTTTTTAAAGTAGGGAAACCTGAAGGAAGGCTTAAATATGGGACTGTCCCTTTAAAAACAGGACATCTGGTTATTCTAGGCCTAGGACTGGTACAATTTTCAAGCCCTAGAATGAGCCCAGAGGCAGGAGGGTCCCTAAGGGAGTGGGGCTAGGAAAGAAAGCCCAGCTTTGAAGAGATGAGGACTCTGCTCTGGGGTACAGGTCTCAGCTGCTGAAGGTGCTTAAATTCATCCAAAAGGTCCAGAGAAGAGACCCCAGGGAACAAACGTAAGGGAGCAGAACCCCTAAGTGTGGACACAATTTGCACTGCTGCACCCAATCTATGCTAGGTGTTTGTATGACACCAACTCTTGTGATTATATCACAACTGTCATAATATTTGGTACTTGTCTTTAAGCCCCCACCTCCTGGAGTCATGTGACTGACAGAGAATCAGTGCTTTGCTTTAAAAGAAACATACGGTGCTAGTCCTTACGGATATGGAGAAAAGTTTGAAAACATCTCCAAGTGCCCTCTAAAGGTCCTAAACCAGAAGATAAATATAAAGATCCCCAAATGTGTTATTTAAAAATATGATATGACTTCTCAATGACTGAAATTGGCAATACGGGGTTTGCACCAGTCCAGCTATAATCACTGTAGCTGTGCCAGCCGCTAAACCTCAATGGAGACAAAGTCTTAGCATATGAGTCCGTAAAACCTTTCAGAAACCTTCACATGATGGGAAGTGTGGCCCCGCTTTTCTCTCATCCTGTGCAATAGTGACATTTCCTTTAGCTGTGCCTCTCCTTTGAAAAAAAGGAGCAAACACCAATCACCGGAGAATGTTCGTTGTGCAACTTCTTTCCGCAGTGAATGCTGCCTTTTCAAAGGGAAGTGGGGCAACCGAGAGATGTGGAAACTCGGCGCCATAGAGTGAGACAGTGAATCTTGGGGTTTTATTTTTCATCTTCCAAAAAGAAAGAGGGTCCCTGACTGATATATTGAAGAACCCAGATTCTCTGGAGAAGAGATTCACCCACTGAGGGAACCCGGACCATGAGGCTTTTCCCTGTTTTGCTTTGGATTCTCTTTCCAGGTGAGAATGACATGGGCTTTTTGTAGATCACCACCAATACAACACAACTATTGGGTTTGCACAGATTACAAGCTTTGCCAGCTTCACCACCTGAGCTTGAAAGTCTCAGGTATAGTCTTGCCGTGTTTTTAAGTAACTCACACAGGAAATGGCACTTACAATGTGGGCAGGTCAGGAAAGATTTCAGCACAGAATCTGTGTCTGCTGAGAGAGTTTTCTCTGGAGACAAAGTAAGGAAAATTTCAGCTGACAAGGAGAATTTTTCGGAAAGTTCTTCGCACAGCTGGTCAACTAACAGAAAACAATATTCATTACAATTATTCTATGATAAAATTTCCAACTTTTGCTACCACAATTTATTTGCAACAAATATTGAGACTAAGAATGTAGCCATATTCCAGAAGGGATTGGATATTTACGTGGATATTGAATATGTCCACTTATAATTAGCACCAACAAAAATTCTGAAAGAGAAATTAACCCACATGCATCTGGGCTTCAGATCTGGCAATGTCTAGCTATGAGAGACCAGGAAAAGACCTATGCAGAGAACAGATTGTCCCACATCTGCATGTGCCAGGTTTCTTGCACTTTTCTCTAAAGCAGGGTTACTCAGCACGCGGCTCGTGGGCTGTGTGAGGCCTGCAGCCTGTTTGTTTGCGTCCCACGGTGCAGTTTGGGTTTACATGGGGCTCAACAGGCAGCCCGCGGGTGGGATCCTGTGAACATGGCCTCCACTGGGAATACGCTCCACAATGGTGAGTCAATGTGTAAGGGTCTTCGGTTGATATGCATTTTAGTAGTTAGTAAGGGTCTTCCGTTGATATGCATTTTAGTAGTTAAATTCCTGGACTGTCATTGCTAATTCAAAGTGCTGTCCTATGGGTGGAAATCGGGTAGATATTGCATTTTATTAATATCAGCAGAACTGACTTAAATGGGGCCTGCATGTTATGTAGTCTTGCCTTAATCTTTGTATTCATGCCCGTCCATGTGAAAGAAGCTATTTTCATATATATTTGCATGTATATGCAACCATACTTCAGTTGCGGTCCTCAGCATGTGCTGTATCACTGTGGCCCCCGAGGCTTCCAAAGTTGAGTAGCCCTTCTCCAAAACACATGGCTCTGGCCACTGTTGGAGACAAAATACTGGATGTTGGGTCCCATCCACTCTTATAAAGGTCCTACAAGATGAACTCTAACCAGGAGCATATGAAAACAGGAAGTTGTAATAAAAGTTGAGTTGTAACATTGACCACAGGGACACATCTCTGTGCTAGTTATATGTAATTCTATAGCACGTTGGGGTTTTCTATCTATAGAAAATGGCTTTCATCACTGTAGAGCAATATTTCCTCTAATCTTTTCCACCCATATGCAGATTTTTTTCATCCTGTGCTGAATAAATTTTTATGCGCTCCAAAGCAAGTGTGAATGTGAACCACCAGGAGAAACACAAACCTAGTTGTGGGCAATCTGGTAATCACTTGGTGGCATTTGAATCTCTCCTGAGTGGTCAAAACAAGCATCCAGCTTACAGGGCACACACATGTAGAGTCTGAGCATCTATCAAAGAATGTTTGCAAATGTGCAGCAGGGAGCAGAGTTTGGAACTTTTCAGACTTACTATAGGACAGCATCATGCTGAGGATAGGTTCTGTGGGAGGTGTGTCATGCTAGCCTGGGGCATTTGGGGACCTGAAAGTTCCTAAAAAGATAAGAGATGAGCAAGACTGATCAGTCACTGATCAGACAAAGCCTCTGATCTGGGGAACAGGCCTCCACCACAATATAGATCAAAGATCAAACCATGCCTTCAGGGTGAGGGCCACAAGGAATGAGCTCAAGGGGACAAACCCCTATTGTAGGCATAATTTGCGGTGGTGTACCATGTCTATACTAGGGGGCTGCAGTGTGGCTATTTCTTGTGGCTTTGTTGCAATTCTACCAATATTTTGTGTGTTTTTTTTCTTAATACTCCAGCTCCTAAGCACCTGTGATTGGCGAAGAGTTTCAGCCTGCATTAAAAATATGTTTCTAGCTGTGGAGTAAAAACTTGAAAACATGATCCAAGTGTAGAGTCAGGATAAGCTCTACCCTGACATCTGGTGGTGAATTGTGGCGAGTGGTGCAAAAGAACTTCAGGAGCTGATCTTGTTTGCATAGGCACACCCACCCTGCCTAGCATGAGCCCACAGCAGCCCGAGTGGTCACTTTGGATGCTGTGGGATCTCCAGTTTCTCTGTTATCAAGGCAGGGACAATAAAGAGTTGTTACCCTGGTTATGTGAATCAAGGACAGTGGAACTGTTTTATGACAGGGGGATTTGCCATCAACTAAGTAGCACTCGCTAGACAAGCGACACGGATTCCAAACCCAGTGAAGGGAGAGAGGCTGGGGACAGGCATTTGTAACTGGTGGTAGGGGTCCGGGGGGTCGGTCCCTTTCGAGGGCCTGAAACACCATCTCCACTGCCTCCTCTTTCTACTGTGAAATATCAGTGCTAACTTTGATTCCATTAAGAGTCAAGTTACAGGTTGCTAACCTGAATTCACTTTGGACCAATGGTGTACCAGCACTGAGGCTCCCCCACTACAAGTTGAACGTGCTGTGTGGAGCCTGAAGCTATATTGCTGGTGGAGAAGAGCAGTTTGTGGGACAGCTGGGCTATAGCTACACTGGCGGCTTCTTGTGCCAGAAATATGCAAATGAGGTTAAGCATGGAATATTGCTGAGCCTCATTTGCATACCTAATGAGCCATCATTTTTTGCAGAAGAGGCTCTTGCACCAGAAGGCGCGTCTACACTGCCCCTTATTGCGCAAGAAAAAGCCTCTTGCACATTGCCATTATTCCTGAAAATAATCAGCGTAGCGGCATTGCGCAAGAGGGGTTTTCTTGCGCAAGAAGGTGCAGTGTAGATGCTCCTTCTGGTACAAGAGCCTCTTCTGCAAAAAATGGTGGCTGATTAGGTATGCAAATGAGGCTCGGTGATATTCCACACTTAACCTCATTTGCATATTTCTGACGCAAGAAGCTGCCAGGGTAGACATAGCCCTGGAGTGGAATGGGATGGCTGGAAGAGCAGTTTGCGGGACAGCTGGTGGAGTGGAGTGGAGTGGAGTGGAGTGGAGTAGCTGGCAGAGCAGAGCAGTTTGTGGGACGGCTGGAGCGGAGGAACTGGCGGAATGGCTCACGTTAAAGGCTGCAGCAGAACCCCATGGAGAGGTGGGACCGTTGGCCTCAGACCACGTAGAGTGCCCCTTAACACCCTCCTGCCCCTCCACCCCCATTTCTACCCAGGTTGGGAGGTAAAACTCTGCAGATAAACTTTTGAACTCTGGGGCGGTACTGACCTGGGACAGAGACTTTTTGGGTGTTGGACCTTGGGACTTTGGGTGATTCTTGGGCTGCTGGACTCAAGAGACTTTTGGGGTGTTGGACTTTTGGACTTTGGGTAATTCTTGGCTGGGGTGGGTCTTTGCTCATGGTTTGGACTATGAACCCTAGTTGTGGTGTTTTCCCAATTTAATGGTGATGTCGTTTACCTCATGTTATTAAAGATTTTCTGTTATACTGAGACTCTGTGCTTGCAAGAGGGGAAGTATTGCCTCTTTGAGGCACCCAGGGGTGTGTGTAAGATTTCCCAGGTCACTGGGTGGGGGCTCGAGCCGGTTTTGCATTACTTTATTGGGAGGAGGACCCGTAGGTACTTAACCCGGCCCTTGCTGCTACTAACTTGGCCTGGCAAAAGGGTTACACAAGTGCAACCTACTGACTCCAAATACAAAGGCAAAGAAAAAAATCTCACACATTTATTTTAAAAAAAAACCCCTCATGAATTTTAAGCCAATCTCTTGATTTGGAGGAGGCAGGACCCCGACTAGGGCTCCATATCTGGCAGGGATTCCAGGACTTTCCACAACCTTCATGACTTCTACAGGGGCCAATGTGGCTGACTCCAGAGCTACCTGAACAACTGGCTCTAGAGACAGCCACAACAGCCACTGTTCTTTTGGCCCCCAAGTCCTGGGATGGCCAGAACAGTCACAGTCCATGGCCCTGGGCAGCGGTTCCCATGGCTGGAGCAGCTGTGATCCACGGGAAGCTGGCTGGATTAGTCGCATTTGTGACCCCTCCCCGCCACTAGCAGCAGGCCCTGGCAAGTCAGCTAGAGCAGCCTTGGCCCCTGGGCAGCTGGAGCAGCCAAGGTTTGTGGTCCCTGGCAGCGTCCACAGACAGATTCCTAGAGCAGCCACAGGCCATGCCCCCTGCTGCCCCGAGACCCAGGCACCCTCCTATCAGTGGCCCAGTGCCTCACCCAGCAGCAGCCCCCGATACACCTCATCACACTTCAAGATTTAATCACAGGTATATGTCATGGACAGGTCCAGGGCTGTGAATCTTTATTTATTGCCTGTAACCTGTCCATAACCTTTACCAAAAAAACCCCAGCGAAAAAATGGATCGGCAGAAAATATGCAAATGAGATCACGACTCATGCAAATGAGTCCCTCATTAGCATATTTTTTGCCCACAAAAACCTCGTGGTGTAGATGTAGCCATGGTATTTGATTGCACTTGGACATGTCTACACTTAACCTGCAACAGCGGCACTGCTGTAGCTCTTCAGTGCACATGCCCCCTATGCCAACCCAGGAGGGGTTCTCTCACTGGTGCAGATAATCCATCTCCCTGAGAGGTGATAACTAGGTTGAGGAAGGAATTGTTCTGTCAAACTTGTTCTGTTGACACAGGAGATTAGGTCAGCAAAGCTACAGCTCTCAGGGGGGTGTATTTTTCATACTCCTGAGTGACCCAGTTACCCCACTCTAAGTTTCCAGTCAGGGCCTACCTTATCCATATACAATATGCAGCTTCGTAGGGCACTCGAAAATTTGGGACACTGCTGGGTCTCAGTGTCCATCCACCTGCTTCTTCCTATCCCTGTTCTGTGGCTCTGTTTCCTTCGGAGAGGATCTAATTAACTTACAAGTTTAAAAGCCTGACAGACCTGTTAGCAGAACATTGAACCTGTGAAAGAGCCATTCAAGTGGTAATGAAGTCATTTAACAGGCATCTGCCAAGCTCAGGGATAGCTTGTCAGGTTCTGAATTTACTGTGTTAGTTTAAAATTTGCTTTAAAACCGTTTCATTGGTGTGTTGCTAAAGATTATAAAATCGCATCTCCATAAAAACTCCTCTCTGGCTGCCATCAGGCATAGGGACACCAGGTTAGCATCACTGCATAAAGCCCCGCCCCATAAATCATCAGGATGGACCTGTTCTCAGTGTAGACTAGTTCTATATTTCCAACCCTCAGAAGATATCGACTCACTGCAACAGTTAAGCAATGGCAGCCTTTACTCCAAAAGTTTCCACCACACATGCATGGAATGAAAGGCCTGATTCACTATATCTTACACCTTGTGTAGCCATTTACATTAATGCAAAGCAGATGTCAAATACGGCAACCTCATAATGGCAGCATTTTACACACACTTTGCACAGGTGTAAATGACTCCAGGAGGTGCACCGCAATGGTGACTTGAGTCCCCTTCTTCATGGGGCAGAAGGTTCTTTTGTGTGGTTCCCCATAATAAAAGGGACGTAAGGGTTAAGCCCCCTGAAAGTTTCCAATGTTAAAGACCTGTCATTTTTGAATTAGACATAAAGCCCCAAATAGCACCAACATCATTTTAAATGGGAAAAACGTATTTTTTAAAATGACTAAACTCAAAAATTGCTGAAGGGATTTGGCATAAAAGCATTCTCTCTGGTTTCTGATAAAGCCAGGATAACTTTAGTGGAAAGGGCGAATATTATCAGCAGAGACAGGTAAGTAATGGGAAATCTTATTCATGAATCACTACTTGATGAAAAATAGCCAACATCTATAACAATGTTATTCACAGCAAACTATTTGACCAGCTCTGATGATGAGCATATAAAATAGGCTGGGATAATATAAGCCCATTTTCATGGAAAATGAAATCTTGCTGTAAGGGACACCATCAAGCACTTGTCTACTTAGTTGCTGATATGGCCTGATCATCAAAGTATCTTCCAAGCAACATTCAAAGTCTTCTCATTAAAACAGAATAAATAATAACATAATAATTGTAGCAAAAGTGAACCAAAAATACCAATTTAGGGCCTAATCCTGGAAAGACTTGCACTTGCTTCATTTTAAGAACATAATTAATCCCATGGATTTTCTCTAAACTTGAATCCCAGTGAATCCAGCAAGAGGGCTCCTGTGCTTAAAATAAAAGACAGAAGTAAACTTTGCAGGCTAGCGGAGTTGCTCTTTTCCAATCCCTTGTCTACACTATCATTTATAGATATTACTTGAAGACTTACCCGGTGTTGCTCAAGTCCTTCAGGGTAGGGGGCTGGTGATGTGGGGGATGAAGAAGTCAGGGCAGAGCCACGAGGGTAGAGGGGGCAGGGCAGGAAGCTGGGGGTGTGCAAGAGTGAGGGTTATGGGGTGAGGAGGGATTCAAGGAAGGTGGTCCCATCTGGTGGGGCTTTGTTCTCCCAGCTGGCAGGGACCTTTTCTCTCTCCCAGACTTCCCCATCCAGCCCATCTGGCAAGACTTTCTCCCTCCCCCCACCTCTGACACTGCAGTCAAGGACTAGGGGGTGGGGGGACTTGGGGCAGAGAGGCAACTTACCCAGTCTAGTGGCAGGCAATATGTCAGCTCACTGCTCTCTTGGTGGTGCAGCTGGCCCAGTGGTCACTTTGCAGCACTGTTTCCCAATTGGAAGCAAAGGTAAGGGTTCTGTGAGGAGCCAGCATTCCCCTGCCTCTTCTTAAAGAGACAGAGGGGTTTTTTTTTTTTTTGCTTGACGAAAAGCAGTGGTGGGGCTTTTTTTGCTTGACAAATCGTACTATGGGTCTAGGGGTTCCGTGGCCTAATAAAATTGGGAAACACTGCGCTGCAGGATAGCTCTCCCCTGTGCTTGCTGCCCCCCAGTAGTCACTCTGCAGTATCCAATGTCCCTCAGAACAGCAACCCCCTCCCTTTCCATGTTCTGGAAAACAGTCCCATTCCTGGCACTTCCCATTTTCCTGGTATAACCAAACCCTGAGCTTGCTTTAAGTTAGGGTAAGAGGAAGCTGCATACCAAAGTTGGTGGCCCTAGCTCTTTCCGTTTAGGAGGATTTCTTGAACAAATGGACTCACAGACAGACAGACAGCGGGCTTGCACACAGACAGATGCACTCTAAAATAGAAATAAAGCTGTTAGATCAGACTAGTTAGCGCTTCCAAACTGTGTTTTTTCAAAGTGCTGAACTAGTTAGGTTTCTATTGATGAGCTCTCCCAGTACATGGCATGTTGGGCATGTTGAGAAGAAAAGGGGGAAGGCTCCCAAAATATAAACTTGAACTGGAAAACCAAAACAAATTGACATTTTGGGTTAAAATGAAAACCCCTGTTTCATTTTGAAAAGTCTGTTTGAAATTGAACTAGTCGTGTTCAATATTCCCAATCAGAATACCCAAATACTTGGTTGAAGCAGAATGTTTGCTGCAGGAAAAGTTCCGACTGGACAACATACTAGTCAAAACTATCATTCACTCTGGCGTCCCCTCTCAGCCTCTTTGCACCGCCAGAGTGGGTCAAAGACGCACGTGAGTGTCGATGAGAATCAAGAGGCCCCTCTTTCACACTGATTCATTAACCTGTTGAGAGCAGAGCAGCCCGCACCCTTCACATTGCCGGCCACCCTGGCCCCTTCACCTGCTCCCAGGCAGGCTGAGGGGAGTGTCAGCTGCTCTTGTTCCCTTTGCACAGGTTTAAAAAGTCAAGTTTTTGGACGGGTAACCACGGAAACCCAGATGCTGCAGACACTGACCCATCCTTCCCTAGACACTGAAGCATCACCCACAATTACCTGCCTCTCTGGACACTGGGGACATGGCATTGCTGCTGGCAGCTGGAAGGATGCCCCGTGTCTCACTGTTTCTGTTTCTCACAGGCTGCCAGGCAGTGCTGGTTGTGACAGGCCCCAGGGCAGTGCGTGGCCAGCCAGGGGGGTTGGTGACGGTGCGTTGTCAGTACAACAGAGGTTTTGAGGCTCTCCCGAAGTTCTGGTGTGGAGGAAGAACTTGGCACTGTTCCAACGGTCGCATAGTTGAGACCACAGGGTCACAGGCTGTGGTGAAGCAGGGCAGAGTCTCCATCCGAGACAATCACACCCAGCGCGTGTTCACTGTGACCATGGAGAACCTGACACTGGCCGACGCTGGCACTTACCAGTGCGGGGTGCTGAAGACTGGCCATCCTGATCCCCGGAATTCTGTGAAAGTCATCGTCTCCTCAGGTAAATCCCACCGCTGTCCCCACCAGTATCAGGGCTGCTGGGATGGGTGTAGCCAGAGGGGCCTCAGGGATGCAGGAAGGTGACAGGGTGTCGAGGCAGGCAGATCTGCTGTAACCCAGGGGTGCCAACCCCCCAGCCCACTCTGCTCAGGGGCCCAGCCTGGAGTTGCGAGGGTCGGAAGGAGGATGCTGCACACCGGCTGTCAAGCCCCTCCAGTGTTTTCTGCAGAGCCCTTTGCTCAGCAACACTTGGACCCCGTCAAGTGCCACAGCACCCGCTCAGGACAGCAGCTGATCCCTCCGACTACTGAGGCCTCTGGGCTCAGCTCCTCCTAAGAAGGAGGTGCAGCACATCCCCCAGGGAAGGCAGAACTAGGCGGGAGCACATCCCTGACAGGCAAGGGGGAAAGGAGGAGGGACAATACCTAAGAAGGGGTGGGAAGAAAGAGAATTTGGGGGCTGGGGTGTAGAAGGCCATTGGTGGAACAGCAGGAGGAGTGGGAACTGCCAGACTCCATAATGGCTACAGCCAGGTATCCCAAATATTTCAAGGGGGTGGAAGAAGGGTGCAGCCAAAAGGAGCAGGAACCTCAATGAAGTTTCGTGCTGGAGATTTTTTTTTCTTTGCCACTTCTCAACCAGAATCTTGCCCTGAAAAACTGGAGTGTAGCTCAAGACACTCAAATAAAAGTGCTGGGAGCAACTGGCCCCTTATCCACTGCGGGGGCAGGTTTTCTCTTCCAAAGGATCGGGTGTCCCTATGCTGAGATTATTGTTGTGCAAATTGTTTTCATTTGAGCTCAGAGTTAGGGCTGGTGAAATGTGCTCGAGAAGACCCATTTATTTACTTTGAGGGCAATGAAAGGTCAATGCTGTTCTGACAGGTCCCTTTCTTTGATTGTAACTGCATGTGGTTTGCAATGGCTGTGATAGGCGAGTGATTTTTTGTCACTTGATTTTAATCGATTTCTGAAGGGAGGCGGTTTTTTATTCTGAACATTCCCAGTGTTTTTACACCTTTATTTTTGCTCACGGGATCAAAAGAAGACAGAGCCACGTGGCTCCAGTAAGTGAGCTGGGGTGTATCACAAGACTCTGAAATCAATTGAGTGAGGCTGTCCAAGCTGACACTGCAGCTTGGAGACACCTGCCTTATAAGTAGCACACCTGAGGAGATGCACATTCATTATTTGGCAATGATGGCCACACATGCCACACGGCCTGCCCAGAACAGGAATGCAAGTCAGGACTAAACATTCAGTCCTCAGGAGTGGGACAAGCCACCCTGCCCAGTGCTACAGGTGGCCAGCTACAAAGGCTAGGAAGTGGATGTAGCCCAGGATTAAGCAAGAAGGTTCTGGGACAGGATAGCAACAGCTTCATGAATGATCAGACGTGTGCCAAACATTTCGGGCGGGGTGGATTTGTAGTGCAGACTGGATTTCTGTCTGTATCTACAGCTGTTTCTTCCCCAATCCCAACTGCAGGGCTGACAAAGCAGCCAGATGCACCTTCCTCCCTAAACACTGACTTGAACTTCTCCCCTACAACAGTCATCAATGATACACGGTGAGTGCCATCGCTCCTGCCCCGTGTCTCTCTGGTAACTTCTCCCAATGCTGGGACAGGATCTCTAGCCTGAGGCCCAAAGAGGAGTGATAACATCCCATGGAAAAAGGAACGTTGCTTTTCTCAGCAAAAGTTGAGGTGTCACGGGGCTGGATCTGTACGTAGGGAAATGGCCATTCTAGATGCAGAGTAGCTCTGGCCGGGGGCTATCTGGGTCCCGTCATATCAGACTGTAGAACAGCACGAATGAATCCCCTAGGTGGATACTGGGGTTCCATATAAGGTCAGGGAGGGGAGCTGGGCTGGGTGTTGCATCTTCTACCGTGAAACGTCTTCAGCCTGAGAGCCCCCCCTGGAATGTTTTATTGGGAGGCATCTGGTCAAATCTTAATGTTTCAACTGTATTTCCGCTGCACAGATTCATCATTCTTTTCCTGCTCCTGCTCTTACTGAAGGGCCTCATCTTCCTGTCCATCATCGGTGCTACCATCTGGGTGAGCATGCTGTACCAGAGTAGCTGCAGGGAGATGAAGCCAGACGGACAAGGTGAGAGCATGTAACACACACACTTCTCTGTTCTCTCTTGAACACCAGGGGCTTAATTGTAGCTTTACTGTGAGCTGTGGATGGGTCCTTGAGTTGTTGGAGCACTTTGGGAGGGAGATAATGATGGCTGAAGTTACAATGTCCCTTACATTCTCCCCCCCCCCCCCCACTGCTCCAGGGATGGAACAAAATGCCAGATCTATGACATGGAGAATTCCCAGTGGTGCATTGGCACAGCCACACTTCCAGGTTCCTGGGGGAGTGCGGGAGACAATGGTCCACCCATTCCCCAACTTTTTAGCTCCTACTTGTCCCGTGCTCTGCTGAGTCTGCTTCCTCTCCTGCCTGGCTACCTCAATTGCACCCCCTTGTGCCCATCTGCTACTCTAGCTAGATCATGATTTGACCTCTCCATTTATATATAGCTGGGATGAGTTTGTCTGTGAATAGGGAACCTTAAAAAACAACGAATAGCCTAGTAGCACCTTAAAGTCTAACAAAACATGTCGCTGGTATCATGAACTTTCGTGGGCATAATCCACTTCTTCAGATGACATCTGAAAAAGTGGGCTATGTTCACAAAAGCTCATGATACCATCTGCATCAGGGCTACTCAACACATAGCTCATGGGCTGCATGCGGCCCATGGCCTGTTTGTTTGTGGCCTGCAGTGCAGTCTGGGTTTATGCAGAGCTCAACACGTGGCCCACGGGTGGGAGCCAAAACAAAAAAGTAGTCAATATAATGGTCTTCCGTTGATATGCGTTTTAGTAGTTAAATTCCTGGACTGTTATTGCTCATTAAAAGTGCTGTCGTATGGGTGGAAATGGGGTAAATGTTGCATTTTATTAATATCAGCAGAACTGACTTAAGTGGAGTCTGTGTGTTGTGTGGTGTTGCCTTAATCTTTGTATTCATACCCATCCGTGTGAAAAATCTATTTGCATATATATTTGCATGTATATGCAACCACACTTAAATTGTGCCCCTTGGCATGTGCTTCCAAAGTTGAGTAGCCCTGATCTACATGTTTTGTTAATCTTTAAGGTGCTACTAGACTATTTGTTGGTTTTTACATTTTTCTAGTTACAGACTAAGGGTACGTCTACACTACCACCCTAGTTCGAACCAGAGTGGTTAATGTAGGCAACCGGAGTTGCAAATGAAGCCTGGGATTTGAATTCCTGGGCCTCATTTGCATGTTGCCGGGCGCTGCCATTTTTAAATGTCCGCTAGTTCGGACTCCATGCCCGCGGCTACACACGACACGAACTAGGTAGTTCGGATTAGATTTCCTATTCCGAACTACCGGTACACCTCTTTCCATGAGGAGTAACGGTAGTTCAGAATAGGAAGCCTAATCTGAACTACCTAATTTGTGTTGCGTGTAGCCGCGGGGACGGAGTCAACTTGGCTACCCCTCTGAAGCTTGTAAATAGGGAGCTATCCTCACCGCTCCAGAGCCCTGATAGGGATTTCTTAGTACCAGAATATGAACAAAAATCTACCAGCCTCATGTGTTTCTCATCCTGTCATGGGGGCTTCTGTGGGTTTTTTTCAGCTCATTAACTGCCTCTTTGCAAGCTCTTCCATCTGGGTTGGAAGTAGCAGAAGAAGATTGGATTTCCAGCTTTGTGCAAAGTATTCCACGCAAAGGGCCTGGTTTTCTTCTGCTCTCAAGTGAAGCTATTTCCCCCATGTTCTCAGAGGATGGAGTCTGCTGGAGGTGTCTGTGTCTGTGTTTCCCAGACCAGGGTTTCTAGGGTTGTATCACTCATGGATCAAAGAGAAAAGCCCCCAGGAACGACAGTTTTGTCAGTGGAACAAAAGCTCTTCTGCGAAAAATAAGAAAAACCCCTAGTCCTAGGAAGAAAGGAAGGAAGGAAGGAAGGAACGGTTGGAGAACTTCGGGCCCAATCCATGCCTGGTGTAGGCAAATGTAACTCCACTAAATCACAGACCCAAACATGGTCAGAACCAGCGGCTACAGAGGCTGCCCTCGAGATAGCTGGAATCTACATGGTCATGGTGCTATCAGGTCACACAATGGAATTGCCACCAGGTGTTCTCCAGTGGAATCCCCTCCCTTCCTTAATCCCAACTGTCCCAGGCCTGTTAATCTTGCAAAGCCATGTCATTTCGCAGGCTTCTGGGGCGGTGGGGTTGACTAAGAGCTGGGATTTGTGCTTCAAGGTTGGGATGACGCTAAATGGAGTCACATTTTCTCCTAAAGTGAAGACATTTAGGAAAGAAAAGAGGCCCAACTGAAGAGACAGATTTCCACACAGCTTGGCTCCCAGTTGCCCGTTTGCTTCCCCCACCCCACACCTTCTCTGGCACAAGGCACAGTTCCCACAGACACCAACTGGCCGAACAGCAGGCCCACAAATGTTTGTAGAATATTCTTTCCAACCCCTTCCTAGATTTGAGGAGGCGGCTGGGTTTATTTGTGTTTGTACAAGTTTGTTGTATTTTTAGTTTATGGTAAATACATCTGGAGCCCTGGATAGAATTCTTTATGTTTCCATAATACATAACAAATAGTTTACCTTAAATTACTGGAATGAAAATTGTCGCACACTGATGGTACATCTACACTACAAGGCTATTTCAGGGTAATGGAGGTAGCCCGAAATAGCTACCCTGCGCCTACACAAGCCGCCTGTTATTTTGAAATATTTTTCAAAATAACGGGTGGGCTATTTCGCCATCCCAGTAAACTTTGTTGCACATGATAAGGGATGACTCACAATAGAACTTTATCTCAAAATTTGGTGCTGTGTAGATGCACCAGATTTCAAATTAAGTAATTTTGAAATAAAATCGAAATAAGATATACAATTTGTATAACACAAATTGTATATCTTATTTCAAGTTCCAGGTGCAGTGTAGGCACACCCTGAGTTGTAGTCCATGTTGGTCTGTCCTGAGCAAGGACTTGAACCAATGTACAAAGCATGAATTGACTGTAGCCTTATTAATATGTAAAAGATGCAACTAGTGGAAAAGAGCCAGTAGGATTATAAGCAACATATGATAGCTTGTAGCATGCAAACAATTAGTGATCTAGACAGGGACGGGCTACAAAAATTATTGGACAAATCATCGTGTGGGATGTGATCTGTTAACCAGCAGTATTTAGTGTCAGAGTGTATATCAGCTTATTCATGATTTCGCACAGGGGATGTGTGGTATTATCCTATACCTGTACCCTCCCTCTGCACCTGAGCCTGATCAAATCAGTTGTGTTTTGATTTTATGCCACTGAAGAACTGTCAGTGATGCATTCGGAGTCAAGCCACATTCTTGTGGGAACCAAGTGGTTAAAGTCTAGGAGCAGGGGTGTGCAATAAGAAGCCTACGGGGCGGACACAGTTCACTGCTGGCAGGTCATCAGATGCTTTATTTACCTGAGCGTCTCCAGGTAGAGCTGCTCGCAGCTGCTATTGACTGAGCAGGGCTGTGAGCATCTGGACTGGCAGCTGCTCAAATAAATAAAGCTTCCGGCAGTCCATGGCAAACCATGTCCAGCCCACAAGCCACCCCTGTCTTGGAGGCTACTGAGGGGAGAAGATCTCAGCAGCCACCCAGCAGCTCCTTGCTCTCTTTCTTCTCCATTTCCCCTCCAGTTTGTCAAGTGTGTGGAAGTGGTAGGGGGAGAACAGAGCCAAAGGCCCCAAGAATCCCGGCAGGGAACATGAAATGTTCGGGTTTCAAAAAAGCTGAAGGATCTACCACGTCCAGCAGGAAATGTGTGACTGGCTCAGAGGGAGGCCATGGGCTTTGGAGGCACTTTAAAGAAAAGAGGCAAAAGCTGTCGTGAGAAAGGAGCAGTGACGAGGGAGGCGCAGCTGCCCTTTCCTGGGGTGATTTCTGCTCCTTACAGCCAAGGAGTTCATGGTTTTCTCTTCATGCCTGTTCCTTTGCTTGAGTCATCTCACCTCTCAGCTGGTTTCAGAGTCACTTCCACGCTGACTCTCTCTCACACAACTGTGGAAAGGAAAGGGGCTAAGTTGGGAGGGGAAGAGCATGGTGCAGTCTGGAGATTTTCCCTCTTCTCCCCTCCCCCACAGTTCTCATATTTCTCCTTGTGCCCTCTCCTCTTTCCTCCCTATCCTCGGGTATAAACTACATGGCTCCGTCGATGGAGCCATGTAGATGAGGCTGATCAGCAGAGGGAAATGAAGCTGAGATTTAAATAATCGCGGCTTCATTTAAATTTAAATGGCTGCCACGCTCTGCCAACTAGCTGATGATCAGCTGTTTGTCGGCAGCTCCGGGCAGTCTGGATGCTCCTCTGTCGACATGAAAGCCCTTTCTCGACCTCCCCGGTAAACCTCATCCTACGAGGCATAAGGGGGAGGTCAACAAAGGCTTAAGGGGAAGGTCGACAAAGGGCTTTCATGTTGACGGGGGAGCGTCCAGACTGCGCGCCCTCCAATCTCCTCCGGGACAGCGGAAGCTGGGGCCATGCCACACACCCTCTGCCTTCCTCCCTCCCCATGTCTGGAGAGGCCGTGCTGTGTGGAGCACTCTCTTTCCTCCTCTGCGTTAGAGAGGCTGGGCTGCACTGGGTTGTGCCACGTGGCAGGCCTTCCTCCGGGGATGAGACTATGCCACATGCCCTTTTCTCTGCCCTCCCCAGGGCTGGGGAGGCTGGGGCAAGCATGTGCCTGCCTGCTCCCTTCCTTTCCCCATGGTTGGGAGGGGGAGCATGTGCACAGAGTGCTGCCTCACCTCCCTTTAGGGGCGGGGAAGAGGCGGGGCCTCAGTAGAAGGGGCGGGGCTGGAGGTGGGGCTTGCCTCCTCCAAACATGCCTTGGCTAATTGCCTATGAAATGCAGGAAGAGCTGGGGAGCTCTGGTCTGAGCCCATTCCCAAGCTGCAGGGCCTGAGACAAGGCCTGAGTTGCTAGCGCTGTAGGGAGGAAGCCAGGGCAGCAGAAGGCAGCAGGTCCACACCCCCTTGCCAATGATGAACGTCCATTTCACACTTTAGTTTGCCCCTGAACCAGGGACTAGGTGCTGACTGGCTGTGGGTCCCTGAGGCAAGGTGGGCATAGAGGGCTGGGGTTCCCTGGGAGGGGAGGACCCAGAGTGCAGGGGCCAAGAAGTGACATGGGGCCTGACCCAGTTCAGGAAACAGGTAACTAAAGGTGAGACACTGGCCAGAAGAGGGCGCGCTGAAGCTGAAGAGCTGATGCCCAAAGAGACCAGCAGGAGGCGCTGCGACAGTTACAGGAAGATTTTTAAAAACCCCAAACCCTGAACACACATTTTTCAATGAACAATAACTCTTGAGATTTTAAAGCCAGTCTCATGGTTGCTGGGGCCCTACACATGATTTAAATGCATGTGCAGGGACAACATCAGGATTGCCATACACAATAATAAGGGGTGGAGACTCCCCGACAGCCGAAGGCTCAGTGGGTATGTTTCCATCAGTGGTTCTCAACCAATTTACCACTGTGGGCTGCACATGCAGCTCTCTGTGACTGATGTGGGCAGCATGCACCCACTAGATAAGTTACCTGTGTGGCCCTGAGGGTGTCGTACAACCCCCGGCTGCGTGTAGATTGGACCACAAGCGACCTGCAGGCTAAGAACCGCAGTACACACTCATACACTGCAATTAAAAACCTGCAGCTGGTCCATGCCAGCCGACTTGGACTCACAGGGCCTGTAACTGCAATGTAGCATTCAGGCTTGGCCTGGAACCAGGGTCCTAGGATCCTGCAAGGTGGAAGAGTCTGCACCAATATGTTTTCACTGCACCCATATGTCTATACTGCAATTTTACAACTGGCACCCAGGCCCCTTAGCCTAGGCAGCTGGCATAGGGCAGCTGCAGGTGTCTAAAGGCACTTGGTGACCCAGTCTTAGGCTGTGTAGCAATTAGTGACCTTGTTCAGGGCTCTACCATCATCCAGTCTGTGTATTTAAGGGGCTAAAGGTTTCCCACCAGCCTCTGCTATAAGCCACATTACTCTCCCCTTAATGCAAACAGTAAACACCATGAGGGAGGTCAAGTAATTTCCTCCCCTAATGAAACACCCACCTCTTCAAAGGGAAGTGGGCAGCTGAGAGAGCTAGAGACTTCCCATTACAGAACTGGTCCCTCAGTCTGCAGGTTCCCCCTTCCACTGGTCTAAAAGGAGGGTCCCAGAGGACTCTCAGAAACCTCGCAGAGAGCGGATGTGGCAGGTTTCAGAAATTTTGGTGGTTCCTGGACTACTTCCTGCTCCCTGCCCCCACTCAAACTCCCTACCTCTCAAATGCCTAAGGCTGTGAGAAGGAGCTTGGGTGCAGGAGGTGCTCTGGGGTGCAGGCTCCGGGACAGTGTTCCTGTGCTGGTGCAGGTTGTGGGATGGGGATGGGGTGCACAGGGATGAGGGGTCAGTATCCGGCAAAGGACAGTGTTCCTGTGCTGGTGCAGGCTCTGGGATGGGGATGGGGTACACAGGGATGAGGGGTCAGTATCCGGCAATGGCTCCTAGACTGGGAGGCGTGGGGGTCTCCACATACGAGTGCCCTTAGGCACCACCCACACACTCCCATTGGCCCAGCGGCACTTGGGTGGGGGACAGCCCATGGAGACACACTCCAGCCCAGGAACTGCAGGGATGTGCCAACAGGCGAGCAGAAGACAGGACGCTGCTCTAGACCTGCTCTGCTGCAGATGGTTGTAGTGGGAGTCCCTGAGTCATTTTGCATTGCCTGGAGGTGGCAATGGACTGGGGAAGGTGCATGGGGATGTCAGGCAGGGATGGAAGAGAGACCCAGCCCCAAATTTTGCTGGAGCAGAGCCCCAGTCCAAGAATGTTGCTGGGGTCTGGGCACCACAGGTCCATAAAACTGCCTCTGCCAGGTAGTCGTGTGCAAAGGAAATAAGGACCATGGGATAGTCCCTGTTTTGATTTGGATTCTTTTCCCAGGACAGAAGGGTGTGGGGAGCTGTGAGTGTTGCTGGAAGTTCACTGCAGTAATTGGGCTTGCACAGTTTACAAGCTCTGCCAGCTTCCCCGGCACAGCTGGAGAGCCCCAGCTAGGCTCCTGCAGCCTATGAGGGATGGAGCTTAGCAACTAGGCCTGTGGTGAAGATATTGTGGGTACTAGGCTTGTGGTGGTGGTGGTTTGCTTGAAGTGCTTGTCTACATTGCAAGTTGTGCTGTAACTTTCCCACTCAGGGATGTGAAAAGACACAGGGTATGTCTACACTACCCCACTAGTTCGAACTAGCGGGGTAATGTAGGCATACCGCACTTGCAAATGAAGCCCGGGATTTGAATTTCCCGGGCTTCATTTGCATAAGCGGGGAATGAGGAGTAATGGTAGTTCGAACTAGAAAGCCTAGTTCGAACTACCTAGTTTGTGCCCCGTGTAG